GTGGCAGCACTGCAGCCTGCCAGCTAAGCCTGTCTCTGCCTTGTTTTTTTAACTCAGCAATGTCTGCAAGAAGCAGAGGCCACAGTGCACACCCCCCCTTAAGCAAAGCCCACACACTGGAGGACACTATCTGATTGGCACGTTGCTGTCCTTATAGCACCCATTCATCCTTGATCGGTCAATGGATCCATAAGAATTTATTGACCAGGCCTGTCCATCTTCCCTGTTCCCATGGGTGGAAGGAAGGGAAGAAAAACTGACTAATCAAGGACTCTCTCAGAGAGCAAAATATCATGGCTACCAAAGCCTCAGTGAACTACCAGACTCTTTAAAGCCTCCTGTTTTGTTACTCCTTTTCAAAAGCAGGACCATACAACACAGGGTTGCCAGCTCTGGGTGGGGAAATACTTGGAGATGTTGGGGGTGGAACCTGGGGAGGCAGGGCACGGGGAGGGAGCTCAGTGGGGCATAATGCCATAGAGTCCACCTTCCAAACAGCCATTTTCTCCAGAAGAAGTAATTTCTGTCATCTGGAGATCATAGTAGTAGCAGGACATCTCCACACCCCACCTGGAGGTTGGCAACACTAATGAAACAGAATGAATCCAAGGTGAGGCTTTTTGTTTTTTTAAAAAACACAGATCCATTTAACTCAGGACATTTAGACCTAAGCCTTTCGGACCCAGAAAGAGGCACCCATTTTCTGTGAGGAAGGGAGAACAGCCTGGAGAAGAAGATTCAGCCACGTGTGTCAAAATGAAACCTAGAACTTTCTCTCTCAGACACAGAGAGAGAGAGAGAGAGGGAGGGGGGTGGGGGTGGGGGTATTGTCCTTCAGCCTTTTCTCTGGCTCTGAGAAACTGACAGGGGGAAGGGTAATGAAATGCAATGCCTTCAGTCATTGAGCAAGGAACAGGTCGCTGCTCACTTCCTCCTATCACATATTAAAATTCTTGCCCAAAGAAAACCAGACTCCATTCAGTCTGCAACCTTTCCTTTATACAACACAGGGTTGCCAGCTCTGGGTGGGGAAATACTTGGAGATGTTGGGGGTGGAGCCTGGGGAGACAGGGCATGAGGAGCGGAGGGGAAGGGAGCTCCGTGGGGCAAAATGCCATAGAGTCCTTCAGCCTTTTCTCTGGCTCTGAGAAACTGAACAATAGGGGGGAAGGGTAATGGAATGGAATGGCTTCAGTCACTGAGCAAGGAACAGGTCGCTGGCCACCTCCTCCCATCATATATTAATTTCCTTGCCCAAAGAAAACCAAACTGCATTCAGTCTGCAACCCTTCCTTTCCACACTTGCTTGAGAGCAAATGCTATTGAACAGAAAACAGTTTACTGTACTTGGGATTAACATGCCTAAGACTGCACTGTTAGTGGTAAATTAAAGGCACTCTGCACATGCTTTCCATCCCTTTGTTACCACTGCTTCTAAAAATGTTGCTCTGACCTGAATCGCTCAGACTAGACTACTCTCATCAGATCTCAGAAGCTAAGCAGGTTGGGCCCTGACCACTATTTGGATGGGAGATCTCCAAGGAATACCAGAGGGGAAGGGCTTGTCCTGGAAATTTCCAGTCCGCTTCCAAGCTGTAACTTTCCCTCTTTGAACAACCAGCATCTCAAAGGAAAAAAACACTATGCAAAACTTCCTAATTAACTCCCAAAAAACCAACTACAAAAAGTGGATCTATTTTTAAAACACAGACGGGGAGCCCTGCGCCATCCTCCCTGGTGCATGGGGTCCCCTGCCCCCCAAAGAAGAGACTCCCATCCCTTTTTACCACGGCTCTTCCTGGTCCCCATATGGAATCCCCTCCTGGAACCTGGGCAGGGACAACCCATCACCTGTCTCCCATGTTTAGCGATGCTGGCAGCTGAAAAAACCTGTGCATGCAAGGCGGGATATCAATCAAAAATAATAAAGAAATAAATAATAAACCTTGTGTTGGTCGTTGCATCCTGGTAAGAGAGTAGAAATCTCTGCAGCACATGAGTGTGGAAACTGTTGAGCATTCTGGTAAGGAACCATCCTTCCCCAAAGTCTTGCTAGAGACATCCAGTCTATCTAGGAGCTCTGAAGAGCCTTGTGAACTGTAGTTTAGAACTGTCTCTCTGATGATAGGTAGACCTTGTCCTGGGAGGTGCCTATGAACACTCCCTGGTGGAGAACTACCTGTGCCAAGTGCAGATTGCCCTGTTCCCGATTTACCACAAATCTGAGCTCCTGTGGCCAGGCCACTCTTCTGTTCACCCCCTCCATACCTTGTTGTAGGGATGGTTCCCTGAAGACAGGTAGACCTTGTGATCAGGACAACATCCAGTTAGAGAAAAAACATACTTGACACCGCTTGGTTCCTCATGCATGCCATCAGGGTTCCCCCTGTGGAAGCGACGGTGGCTAGAAGAACCTCCATTCTGTCAGTGAGCCCCTTCGGCATTAGGAGCCATCCTAGAGAAAAATTGGGGGGGGCACGACTGTCCCACCCCTGGACCACTGAGAAGGAAGATTCACGGGAAGTGAAACAAATCTTCAATTCTCCAGTGGTCCTAGGGGTGGGACAATCTTTACTTCTGGAACATACAAAAGCAGGGTGCCCCAGGGCAGGAAGAACTCGACTCCTAAGCCGGATGGGTGAACTGTAGGAGGGCCCTCCTTCAAAGACGGCTACAGCTGAGGCCACTCAAGCTATTCTGTAGAACCTGGAAAAACGCTTGCACAGACCTCCAGGTAGCAGCCCTACATCCACCTCAGAAGAAGGAAAGACCTATATGATGCTGAAGCTACCGCACCCTCGTAAAGAATGGGCCAAAATGCCCTGTAACAACTCCAACTTGCAAAACTTGATGAAGCACCCTCTAACCTACCTACTCAGCATGGACAGAAATACTCTTAGTTCCAAGGAAACTTCCTGGAGTAACGAACCTAGGGTCAGTTCTCCACTCTATCACTACAGAACATAAAAAGATTCCTTATCTTTCTTTTCTTTCCCTTTTTTAAAAGTCCTTTTCTGCCACGAGGTATCAGGCCATGCCTTTGTCAATTACATAAACCCCTTTAAGGGGACACCAGCCACCATGGCCAGATGTCCAGAACTAGGTGAATGAGCAGCAAGCCATGGAAGCTCTACATGTGGTTCAGGGAGCTTCAGGGTCCTCACGTAAACCGTGTTAGGTCCGTGTATCACAAGGATTCCTTAGGAATACCGCCTGACCCCAATGGAAGCACTGAATTAGAGCCCGGGCAAGCCACTGGGCCATCCATCAGTAACAGCTGAAATCTCTTACTGCCTCTAGTACCCAAGAGTAAACGTGGAAGAAAAAAGGAATGGTTAGCTTTTGGTCTAGCGGAACATTTCCATTCAGTATTGAATACTTAGTAAAAAACCTGCAGGGTGAGGAATCCCAGTAGGGGCCGCTGCCCCCCCTTTAGAGAGCGCTCTAACTGAGCTATCTGGAAATTATGAATTGGGTCTTCCCTCCTTTAGGGGTCACCTGAGATTTCCAATATACACAGTATGTGAAAAAACTGCATTGTTAAACATTGGTCCATCTGTTGAAAATGTATGTGTTTACAAGGTCTGATGATTCAGTCATTATAGGGTTAACTTGTATTCCTAGTTTGCTATTGTTTAGACTGACCTGGAAGGGATACCTGGCACTAAGCCAATGGGGAATTAGCCCAGGAAAAGTAGCTTCTACTGTGATACAGATTGGTCATTTGTTTCAGGTGACTTCCTTTCTAGGGGTCAAGAAGAAGGAGAGAATCTCCACCATTCTGTGTGTGCTTGTTTTGACTATAGGCAGCTTAGAAATGTAGCTCTTAGTGTTATGTTAATTTGTAGTAATCCCGTGAACCCTTTACCCTTAGAATTAAAGGTTTTTAAAAGCAAAGAAATCTCTTCTTTCCAATAGAGCAAGATCCTTTAATAGACTAAGTATTAAACACTTTTTGACTATTTTACAACACCATCATGTTCAGTATTGTCTACTCAGACTCTCAGTGGCTCACCTAAGAGTTGGTTTTATACCCACTTTTCTCTACCCTAAGGAGTCTCAAAGAGGCTTGCAATTGCCTTTCCTTCCTTTCCCCACCTTGTGAGGCCAGTGGGGCTGAGAGAGTCCTGAGAGAACCTTGACTGTCCCAAGGTCATCCAGCAGGCTTAAATGAATACGTGAAGCTGCCTTCTCCTGAATCAGACCCCAATTGCATCATGATCAGTATTGTCTGCTGAGACTGGCAGTGACTCTCCAGAGTCCCAGGCAAAGGTCCTTCACACCCACCACCAGATCCTCGAAGGTTCTCCAAGATTAGAGTCCATGTTCTTAACCACTACAACCAAACTGCTCACTCGCTGCCTCTCCAAGGCAATGCGGGAGAGAGGGAGCAAACCCATCCCTTCCCAAGCAAAACTCAGACTTGCTAGAAGTTCTTGAAGGTATGCTGTTTTGATGGGATCACGGTGCTCTGTAGAGTGCTGCAAGAGACGTCTTGCCCCTGGCCAAGGCTGAAAACACTGGAAATTTCCAGGACAAGCCCCTCTTCTTTGGGATCACAAAATTTGACAACCTTGCCTGCAGAAGAGGAGGAGCTGTATCCCAAAAGACTGTCGCACCCCTAGGACCACAGGACAATGAGACCTACAGGGCTTGTATTATTCTTTGTCTCATAAACCTCACCTTTCTGACTGCTATGTGTTGAGCTTTAGGAAAGGAAGGGGGCATGGGACAGGATTTATTTCCTGCATTTGAGTATTCAAAATGTTGTGAGCAGAGCTACAAAAGGAGAGATTCATTAGCTTGAAATCCACATAGTTAAGCATTAAAGAACTGCACCACAGTGCTTATTTTTTTATAGTATTATTGCAAGGGAGGAGGATGGGGACAAAACCAGAATTAGTTGGCTCCTGCCCTGCCCTCCGCCACTCAAACTCCAATAGATGCAAGCTGCAGATACAAGACTCAACCAGCAAGCAGGTACAAGACTCAAAAGTTACCTCAGGAAGCCTTGTGAGGGTACCAAGCTTCAGCTTTTCTTTCTTTTCAGTATTGTCCAGCTCTTTAAAAAAAAACAAAGAAAAACACAGCAGAATAAAAGAAACAAAGGGTCACTTCACTTATCAGCATCAGGAGTACTAACCTGATAAAGACTTTAGCAGCAACTATTATTCTCTGTGGAAGTTCCACACAATTCAAATTCTGGATATCAAGAATTATTTCAAAGAAGTTTCATGCCATCAGCCAGTAACAAATCCCAGAACACAACACAGTATTTATAGGTAAGTGATATATGTACAATGGCTGCTAGTAACCAGGGAGTGGAAGGTTGGTTCCTTCCAACTACAACAGAAGGAATTTTTTATTATTATTATTATTGTAATGCAGATCAATACAAAAATGTAATCAGAACGGTGACTTAGCAACAGACAAAGCACTAGATTTTAACATTCAGACCATGCTGAAGCAAGTCACATCTCATGAAGGAACAAAACAAACAAACAAAGATCAAGGTAAGTAACAATTATAATCCCACTATAAAACCAAAGATGAATATCTATATACTATAACTAATAACGACTTTCAAATATTGCTGTTGTTAAGTTTGTCAACGAGTTAACGCCGTTGGACCGCCATTAGATTGCCCGATGGTTGCAGCACCTTGCTCATGAGCTACCATCGAGTTGTTGCCTTAAGGAAACTACAAGCAGAAAAACACCTTAGAACATTGGGAAATGGAAATCCATTGAAAATTTGTCATTTAAGTGACTTTTAATTGCCGTCAGCTTGTTGATTTGTAGTGTTTTTAATAATTTTGTTTTTAAGCTGTTTATATGTCGTGTTCGAAGCCGCCCTGAGCCTGCTTTGCGGGGAGGGCGCGGTATAAATTTGATAAAAAATAAATAAATAAAAAATAAACTGTTTTGTTTCCTATCAAGAAGAATAAAACTTAAAAGATATAATTTAATTATGAAATACAGTTATAAACAATTCTTATGATTATCACAGATATATAATAATCTCATAATATCTTTGTGGAATTGTCATTTTAAAGGTTACATTTCCTTTAAGATCTGCTTCTAAAAATGGAAGCTATTTTGAGATCAGGTTAGTCTGTTTCTTGGTGGTAAACTTTCTGATATTTTATCCATCATAGAGTTCCCATACTTTTGCATACCATTGATTTACTGTCAAAGGATTTGTGTCTTTCCATTTATTTGAAATTACTGATTTAGCTGCCATTAGTAGAGTGGATATTAATTCTTTTCTTATATTTGGAATTTCCACTCCCTGCCAGAGGTCTGATAAAACTAACTCAGGTGTACGAGGGATACCATAGCCTGTGATTAAATTTAAGATCATAATCCAAAATTCTTTTATTATCTTGCAGGTCCACCAGCAATGAATATAATTGGTTTGTTCTCCATAAGATCTCCAACAAAAAGGTAAGACTTATTCATGTGATTCAGTTTGATAGGTGTATGATACCATCTCATAAGGAATTTATAGCTTTGTAATTGGATATTCAAGGAACGTGAAGTAAGACTGGGAGAGGACTATATCGTAATCCAGTCTTCATCTGTTACCTGGGTTGGGAAGTCCTTTTGTCAAGAGTTTTGATATTTTAAGGGATATTTATATGAGTGTATGAGTAACTCCTTGTAGATGGTCGAGATCATTCCCTTGAAAGTAATTTGTTTTATTTTAAGTGATTTCTCTCCTCCCTGTTATAATTCGGTTGTTATGCCAATAAAGGTTGTTTGTAAGTGATTTCTCAAAAACAGTAAGTGATCTAAACATAGTACATTGAGTAGATAGAGAGTCCTTAAGATGTCTAACCTGTAAATATTCATACCAGTGGATTGAACAATTAACTTTGTTTTCCAAGTTGCATCTTTCCAGAATTGAGGAATTATGGCAAATATCAATAAAACGAGTGATAGGGGTTTCTCTCCAAACTCTAAATGAGTTTTGTAACAATCCAGGGAGAAACCAAGATTGTCCTGTAAAGTTAGTAATGGGGGAAATTTAGGAGCAAGAAAGTTTTTTTTCTTTTATTCCACATTTCTTTTGAAATCTTTTGGTCTTCGAGATATTTTTCCCATAAAATTTCTGGGAATGTTTTCTGACCAAAATATGTATTTTCAATCAATTTCGAATTGGCTTGGTATTTAGAACTATAAAGTTTAAGAATTCCAAGGAGGGTTGTGGCTTCATAAGAAAGTGTCACGTCTGGAAGGGCCAAACCGCCCTGATTAGTATGTCTCCTCAATGTTGCAAAACCCACTCTGGGCAAGGTTTTGTTTCATATATGTTTTGTAAAAGTTGTTTGCCATATTTTCAGAGAGGAATCTGAAATCATTATAGGGATCGCACAAAAATAATAAAGAAATATGTGGAAAATAAGTGTCTTAAGAATCTGTATTTTTTCCATCCAGGTTGATAAGGGCAAACTCCAAGATTAAGGTAAATCATCTAATAGTTTAATGACATGTGATTATACTTTAAAATATCCCATATATTGAGGGGTATTTTTATTCCCAAGTATTTTCAGTATTTTTTTTAACCCAGCTAAAATCATAGTGGTTCATGATGTAATCACGTTGGGAATCCGATAAAGCTTTTGGATATAATGGAGATTTAGAGGGCTTAACACTAACTCCTGAAATTTGACTAAAAATGTGTAATAAATTCTGTATTACTGGTAGTGATGATTCAGATTGTGTTAGAAATAATGCTATATTGTCAGCAAAAAGACTTCTCTTTAACTGTTGATTTCCTAAGGGTATACCCATTATCCCTGGATGTGATCGAATTGTCTGGGCTAATGGTTCAATAGCAATTGCAAAGAGCAGGGGTGATAATGGGCACCCCTGTCTAGTGCCTCTTGTTAGATCAAATTCTTCTGAGTATACACCATTAGTTTGAATGTTAGCTGCGGGTGAGCGGTATATGGTATGAATTGCTCTTTGAAAATTAGGTCTGAAGTTCATATGGGCTAAAAGGGTTTTCAGACACATAGCTTCAACCCTATCAAATTCCTTTTCAATGTGCAGTGATAAAACAAAAGAATAACTTAATTGTTTATGATAGCAGTATTCGATGATATTTATAACCTTTCTGGTGTTATCTGTGTTATCTCTATTAGAGATAAACCCTGTAATTTTGTAATCTTGGTTTAACAGGGAGATTTGGTGGTACGAACTGGGAGCAGTTAAATCTCTATCTTGTTTAGGAATCACTATTATGTTTGCAGAGTTCCAGGAAAGGGGCATATTACCTTCTGTTAGAACCTGATTACAAGTTTAAGCAAGAGGTCCTGTAAGGAGAGAATTTTTTAATAAAACTCTAGTAAATTCATCACACCCAGAGGATTTATTATTCTTGAGTGATTTAATGACCTCTTGTATTTCCTGGGGAGACACTGGTTTGTCTAACCAAGACTCATGTTGGGGTGAGAGGTGTTTTGGAAGCGGATATTGTAATAAAAATGGTTTTATACTGCTAATTGATGGAGATTCTAAATTATATAAACTCTTATAATAATGTAAGAAGGTATCCGCGATGTCTTTATTCGTAAACTTTAAATGACCATTATTATTTCTAATTGAGTGTATGGTATTTTCTGCTACTTTCTTTTTGAGTTTTCGGGAGAGTAATTTGGTTAATTGAGGGCTTTTGGCCCAATACTGTTGTTTAATATAAGCAATCTTTTTTTTATTTTGGGAGACTTCCAAAGTGTCAAAATTTTTGCACTCTAAAAGAAGTTTTTTATAGATTTTCTTCTATACCCTTAAATACCTACAACAATGTGATTGCAAGAAACATGGTCTTTTGATGAAGTGCATCTTGAAAGCTATAATCCTTTTTCTCTACCAGTAAAAGGGGGCCTAGCCTGTTATATTTCTGATATTTTTTCAGCTCAACAAGCTTTACAGTGTGCACAACAGAATTTAGCAATAGCAATTAAAGGGAAATTTGGACCTCTTTGGGTCATTTTGGTTAATGTTTACTTACCACCTTGTAACAAAAACAGGACTCTGGCACATGATGGACCATTCTGGAAAATTATATTCTGAATTTACAATTAGGCTATCCTGATGCTCAACTAATTAACACAGGAGATTTAAATGCTAGAATAGGAGCAAACAATGATACCTTATTGAAATCCTGATTATGGGATCATACACCACCTGACTTTATACCTGCAATGGGAGCATGTAGATCTAAGGATAGAGGTATAAATTATTTGGGCATTAGATTAAAACAAATGATTATAAACTTAAATTTATCTTTGTTAAATGGAATCACCTACTTGGACCCAGGTGGAGATTTTACCTTCCTTTCTGAAAAGGGCGCCAGTGTTATAGATTATTTTATAATTTCCTCATATAATGCAATGCCTTTTAAAAAGTTATGGGTTGCTGATATTTTAACTAGCAACCATTTCCCTATGGAATTATACCTTGAACCAAAAGGTCTCCTATGGATCAGTAAGGGAAAAATAATAGGAGGAAATGGAGGAAAAACTTCACTGCAGAAGCTAGAGAAAGAATGAGGCAGGAAGAAGGGAACCAGACTGTGTCAGAAACATCCAAAACTTCCAGTACTGTAAATGTCTTTTCTAAGATGGAGGCGCTAATAAACTTTTTAACTCCAATTTTGACTAAAACAGATTTGAAGAGGGATGGTGACAGATTGTGCTTTAAAAGGCTCATAAGTGCTATATAAACATGTGACAGGCCGTGAAGGGTTAATGCCTCAAAGAGCCAGCGAGCTTTTGAGTGACAGGCTGCTCAAGCAGATTTCACTGGATAGCATAAGTTGAGAAGAAATAGTTGGGAACAGACCGTGAAAGAGAATTCAGTTTAAGACTGACTGAGGACTGGGAAGGTGGCAAGGAGGAATGGGAGGATCACTGAAGACCCCCATTTGGGCCAGAAAAGAGACAAAGTTTCTAGTTTAGAGAAGTAATTCCCTGCCCAGTTGATGAGGGAGATAGCTCTAAAGAGTGGAGTAATCCCTGGTTTATTTGGAGGAGGAATCTGAGTACTTGGTAGTGTATCCCTGCCTTCCAAAACCTGAAGAGTCAGTTAAACTCAAGAACTTATACTGGAGTGCCTAGCAGTTAAATTAGATGTTTCAGAGTAGCAGGAGGCTGCCTAGTCTTCTAGTGAGCTAAGCACAAACAGCTGACCTGTGCTGTAAAAGGAAGACATGCAAGAGAGAAGAGGAGGCAACAGAAAACGAAAGAGGGAAATGGTATAGTGCTAAAGTTCTGTGACAAATAAAAGGGGTTTTAAAAAAGTTTTCCAGAAACACTTTTCCAGAAATACAATGTACTAAGTGGAATCAAATGGTCGAAACACAGCATGATCAAAACACATACAAATCTTATGTTCAACGGCAAGCCTCTGAAAAGCATACAACAACATATAAACTCAGATTATGCTGTTGTTCACACACCTGTTCCTGTGCCACTCACTGCTGCTGCCCCAACCTGCTCCTCCCCTTGCCCCAGACCCCCCCCCTTTCTCGTCGCCCCCCCCCCCCCAAGCCGAGCTGCAACATAATGCTGCAGCATGGCTCTGCAGGGAAAGTGATAAAAAGCATAAAGGGTTTCAAGTGTATGGGTGGGGTGATAGAACACAGCAGCAAACTCTCCCACACCATTCTGAAAGTATGGCTTATTTCCACTCCCTGTAGTGGTATGGAAGCAGGGTCTGCACAGATACTCCAAACACTATCCTTTGAACTAGAGAAACACGGGTTTTGTTTTTCTCCAGCATAGATGGAGACCCCACCCAAAGTCTATGAATTGTGCTTAGAATGAGCACAATGTTGTGTAGATGTCACTCTTTGACCTGGGGGCTTCCTGCTGTGCATAAAGTGGAAGCAGCCAAGATCTTGAGGGTAACAGACCTTGAGATAAAACCAAGTTCAGGCTTGAGAAGGGGACGACAACCAATCCAAGTTGTGGCTCACACAAACAAGCAAAGTGGCTAAACCACTTATTCCAGCCAGGCCCAGCTCTCCAGAGTCACAAAGAGATATATCTAAAGATCTCCTTGTCAATATTCTGCAGGCATAATTTTACCCCTCCATACTGTAACCATAAAATTAGCTTGATTTGAAAGACAAGAAAGAAACTGAATGCTTCTTAAACTTGTGTCTTGCCCCCTAATGAGCTAGTCTGGTGTAGTGGTTAAGTGTGCGGACTCTAATGTGGGAGAACCGGGTTTGATTCCCCACTCCTCCACATGCAGCTGCTGGATGACCTCCGGCAAGCCATAGTTCTGACAAGAGCTGTCCTTGAAAGGGCAGTTCTTGAAAGAGCTCTCTCAGCCCCCACCTACCTCACAGGGTGTCTGTTGTGGGCAGGGGAAGGGAAAGTTTGTAAACCACTCTGAGACTCTGAGTGAAGGGCGGGGTATAAATCCAATCTCTTCTTCTTAGAATGAACAATTGTGCTTAAGTGCTTAAGACTTTTGGTCATGCAAGCCGAAATAAAGTTGAAGTTGAAGTTGAATGAACATAATCTTTTATTTGATATAAGCTGCACCTTACCTTTGAGGAGTTTCAAAATACATGTTTCTGTTAGGTGCAGCACTCCTTGATCAATGTACAGCAGCAGTGTATACAAAGGAAGACAGCGCACTCCCAGTCCTGTATGCAGCGTATGAAACCCTGCAGTGAAAGAAAAGGCAGATGGTTTGAACAGAAATGCAAGATTCCTTATCAGAGCAAAATGATGGAGGCTGCAAGGCAGACTTTTAGTTAAATTATCCCTCAATACTTATCCTGGGAGAATATCTGGCCACTGAAAAACTGCTTGTAGAGCTTCTATCAGTGGATATTTTTCCTGAAAAACTGGAGAGCATCTGATTGGGATGGCATAGGCCTAGTCAATCTTGCTATTAGGCAAAGAATAAAGCCGCCCTGAGGCATGTGTAGTTATCTCATTAGTTCAGCGTTGCCTTCCTCTGCCAAATTCTTCCCCAGCAGGAAGAGCCTCAGAACAGTTAGGCAGGCTGGCAAGGGCATATTTACCTGTACTGCAAGTATGCTTCAGCCTTAATTACCTCAGCACTGATGCTAGCGGTGATCTGAAGTCATTTCAGACCCTTCCATTTCATACAAATTAGTGTTAAACAGCCTTCCAAACCAAGACTCAGCAATATGAAGCTCTCGCTATCTATCTCTTTCACACACACACACGGACAACATGTGTTGTCGGCATTTACTAATATTTAACTGTACTTACATGCACTTGCAACACACACACCCTTGCAAAATATGCCTTAGACAGAAGTCAGTAGTGCATTCATGTCTGCACACAATATACAAAAACAGCATTAAGGAGGAAAGGGCTCTTAACGGCTTCTTGTCAAATCAAAGTGAGACTATTCCCCCAGTGTTTGGTTATATAACTACTCACTGTGGTCTCACAATTGAGAAGTTTCTCAGCAAGACCTTTTTTAATTGGGTGAAAAAAACCAGGCCAAATATGCTGGGTCCAATGATAAACCACTTGCCACTTTGGCAAATGAGAATTTTCCCGAAACTGTCATCTCAGAAATGAGTTTACTGTTAACTACTTTATTAGTATCACCAAGCAAATATTTTCTGACCATAGGCCACCTGCCCAGAATGAGATCATGGAGAGCTCAAAACCATGTTTGCTACTTTGTGATATTTGGGGTGCTCCCAACAAAAATCATCATAGGATATACAGTTTTCCATTAGCAAATACAATGATAAATGGCTCTATCTATCCCATTTTCACCTCAGAGAGGGACATAGCATGTATAGACCCATTCTGGGATTGAAACAAAGCTGACAGCTTCACTGAATCACAGCTTACATAAAGCAAAGGGAGCCTCCACAGAAGGGAATTAAGAGTGAATGAAATATTCAGCTCTGCTGTTTGGGGCTTACCAGGAGGCAGAGGCAGACACATCCCACTTGCAGCATGCAGCATCCGACACATGAAGTGGAACACAAGAATCTCGTTCGAAGTGCCTCGCTGCCCACTGCACAGAGCAAAACACCACCCCATCAGTAAAACCTTCTCTCTCCTCATAATCCTTTTGGGCTGTTTAGAATACACATTCCAGAAATGAAGCTAGGCTCAGCTCAAAGCAAGACTCCTGTGTCTTGTATACTTCACAGCACCTCACAAAGCATGTTCAAGTAATTTTCTGTAAACCAGGAGAATCCCAAGTATACAGAAAGACCTGTCCTTTTTTTGGACAGATCTCTGCTATTGCCCTTCTGATACACATACTACCACCAATTTTTTAAATAGAAAGAACATTGTGTGGGTGCATTCAAAAATACAGTAAGCAATGTATGCTATACGTTGCCCTTAGAACTGCAACATAGTTCTGACATATTTTACATGAAGTTCCATGTTACTGACGGTGCTGGTGTGGACGTTGCTAAATCAACATGTTTCGTCTAGACCACTGGTCTTCAACTTTTCCAGACCTGGGACTCTACTTTCATTTCCAGAGAGTTATAAGTTGCAAGCATGCAAGAGGAAGTCGTGGGACATTAATCATGTGACAGGAAAAAGTGGAACCAGAGTTGTGGGAAGAAGCTGTGATGTGGGTGAGAGAGACAGAAAGTAAAGGATGGCTTTTGCGGGTGATAGGTGCCTGAACCAGCCTGTGCCAAAAAAACAAACCCTCTCTAATAATGAGTGACCTCACTCCACCATCTTTCTATGTCTAATCCTGTTTGCAAAGGGACATGATGTGTTTGCTCTCCACACATGTGCCTAAGCAGCAGACTCTTCCCCAGAAGTGGACCTTCAGAGGATTATGACCAGGAGTGGACTGGGAGGAAAACATAGCCCAGGGAAAGGACCCCACCCTCCCCAAAGGAGGGATGGGAAAGAGCCTGCCTAGCCAACCACACACTTCTTCCCTGCCAGGTGTGGGGCTTGACAAGACCACATACCTCCTTCCCTGCACAGGGTGAAGGCCAGGCCATTGGCCCACCATGACTTCTGACTTCTCCTAGTGGCTTTAATGGCCAACCTGCCCTGCTTGCAACCCATCTAGGGGCACCAAGGGAACCAAGAGTGAATGAAATATTCAGTTCTGCTCATTCAGCTCTGCTCATATTCAGATCAGCCCATAGACTGAAGAGCACTGGTATAATATACTGTCATAACTTAAAAACATAGCAAACATCCACATTGTTATAAACCATGTGTTTGGCTAAGCTATGTTACCTTCTCACCATTATAAAAGCAAATGAAACCACCTTTTCTGTTTCTGACCCACGTATAGGCTTTCAGTTTCATTACATTCAGTGTGAATCAACAGAAAACATCCACTTACAGAGAAAAGACCCAGGAATCAAGATTATACTTCTTCCAAACATTTTCCATTATCCGATACGTTAAATCCAGCTACAAAATATAAAGTAGTATTTTGAATTCTCATTGAAAAGACCTTCTATTTTTCTAACTCCTATTCTCAACTATGTATCAAACACAACATTAAACTGCCATCAGAATAGTTATATAGTCACAAAATACATCAGCCATTGCCTGTTAGGTAACAGAAGCTCAGCTTTCTAGATCAAGTTGTATCACAATCATGGCAGCCACATCTCCTGACCTGATCAAGAAGGTGAGGGAAAGACTGTAAAAATGGACAGTGTCATGAAAAAAAAGTAGTAATGTACTACTATAGGCTTACACCAATATCCTCCTACAATGAAGTAACCATTGGCAGGAAAATAATCTATACTGTACTAAGATGTCAAATTTCTAGAAATTTTGAAAATCGAGGGGTGAGGGGAATGGGAAAAATTAAAATATATGAAATACTCCCTTTTTTACTAAATCTGAACTTAATTTGCTATTTTAACAAAAGAAAATACATCATTCATAACATATAAAATTGTACAATATGGCATATTTACAAAATGTAAAACCATAAATGACTTACAGTATCATCCAATGCACTTAGAATGCTCTAACCCTGTTTGCTAATTTGCTACAACCAGAACTAAGAATACACTCAATGCAAGACTCTTTGTGAACCCAATGCTACCTTAGCACATTCATCTTAGTTTTTGTCATGTGAGAGGTAGGGAAAAAATTAAAGCTGAAAACAGAAATCACAAATTTTGTAGTATTAACAAATGAAGTGTGTCATTTGACACAAACGACCCCATGCAGTCATAATAGGACTATCAAACTTTGTTATACTGAAAACAATTAATTCTTCAATAATGTTTCATACACATCATACCATAACTGTGAACGAAGTCAGTCACATTTAAATATATCCTTGAAAATAAACAGGATGAAATATTATTTCCACAGAATCAATTCTTTTAACAATGGGCATTTAGACAGAGTGTAGGCACAGTTCTTTCTTATTCTCCACAATCATGCCGGCGAGGAGGAATTTCCAGAAGATTGTGCCCTATAATACTTGGCTCTGCATTAGGCCAGACCCACACTCTGCACATGCACACAAACAGGAAGGAGGAGGTAGCAGAGGGTTAGAATTGTGGAGAATAGACTGCACCACTTCAAACTGCTGGAGGAGGATCACATTTTAGTATGTTTAGGTTGAAAGCCCACTGGGAAAAGAAAGCTAGCACAGTAAGCACGGAGTGGGTACACCTTTATTCCTTGTGTGCCAGTTCTGTTTCCACAGAGAAATATTCAGAATTGGACCCCATCACCTGCAGTGGGGCAGTCCATTCTACCACCTTGGGGTTTTTCTACCTCTTGAGTGAACCAGGAATAAATCTCCCCCCCCCCCAAAAAAAACACCTTGCATTGCTTTAGCTTAAAAAAAAATAGACAACCAGTTTTGAAACATAATCCACAGCAATCTCTTCAATCCTCTTTTTGCTGACATATGGTAGGTGTCTCATAAGATGATCTTTCAACTGGACAGCCATCTGTAAAAAAATAAACCAATTAATTTACATTCTAATATTAAGGCAGAGAAAGTTAAAAGCACTAAACAAGACTATGGCTCATTGTGCCTGTGTAAACCAAGTCACAGGTCTATGCTTTCTCCAGAATTAACTATTAATCTTGCTGGTTACTGTTACAAGACATTGGCAAACACAAGAGGGTAAATTCCTGTTATCTAAGCTGTAACAGAATATGTAATCTGGTATGATTTCAACAGGGTGCTGCGGTGGCTCAAGTGGTTAAGACGCTGAACTGCAGACCGGAAGGTCGGTAGTTCGGCAGTTTGAGACCCGAGTGCTGCATGACAGAATGAGTTCCCGTCTCTGGTCCCAGCTCCTGCCAACCTAGCAGTTTGAAAGCAAGAAACTGCAAGTAGATAAATAGGTACCACTTCGGTGGGAAGGTAGCAGCATTCCGTGCACCTTGGCATCTAGTCATGCCGGCCACATGACCACGGAAATGTCTTTGGACAGCGCTGGCTCTTCGTCTTGGAAACGGAGATGAGCACCGAATCCCTAGAGTCGGATTCGACTGGCTTTTGAGCAAGGGAAACCTTTACCTTTACCTACAATTTCAACATATTGGGATTGTATTTATGGCTACAACATCACTGGGCACTATACAGGGAAAAAAGCAAGAGCAAACTATCTGCATCTTACTCCACATTATTTTCTTTTTTTTTCTTTTGGCTCTCAGGTCACAGCTGACTTATGGTGACCCTGTGGGGTTTTCAAGGCAAGAAACACACAGCGGTGGTTTGCCACTGCACTCCACATACCTACAGATATTTCAAATAAGACTACTACCCTGTTCTTCCTGCATGGAGCTAACAGAAACATATCTATGGTTTCACTGCCTCCACCTTGTTAGGTAAGCTAGGCTGAACTAGAGTGACTGGCCCAAGGTCACCACTGAACCTCATGGAAACATGGATATTTAAACCCAGATCTTCTCAGCCCTAATCAACTGGCTCACAGCAGCTGTTTTCGGCAACAGCAAAGCCAACCTGTACTCCAGTGCTCTCCAACATGGCATCCACTGCATTTCCTAGACCCCATTTGCTCCTTAGGGATACGATCCAAAGGGCTTTGAATGGAATGGAACAGTAACACACACACATGCCAAGGGAATGTTGGGTTCCCTCCTACTAACTGCACTTATCCCAGGTAAACAAAGGTTGATTCCAGTGGCACCTTTAAGACCAACAAAGTTTTATTCTGGGTATACATTTTATGCACACAACACAGACAAAAGCTTACACCCAGAATAAAACTTTGTTGGTCTTAAAGGTGCCACTGGAATCAACCTTTGTTCTGCTGCTTCAGATCAACACGGCTACCCCCCTGAATTTATCACATCACCGCTGTGCACCCATAACTTAGTCATGGACATGGACCTTAAACTCTTTTTCAGCTTATCGTAGGCACTTCCACTTGTGGAACAGAGAATTTTTTGTTGACTCACCCTCACACACACTGCAGCCCCACATTTCAGTCAATCAATCAATCAAACCTTTATTGGCATATCGTATTAAAACTGACAGGCAAGGTAATACAAAAGTCATATGCACTTAATGATACATTCCCTCCTCTTAGAAGCCAAAAACAGAAATTTGGCCATCCTTTCCATAATCACTAAGGAGCAAGTAGAGAGTAAATAAGATATCTTCCATTCATCAGAATGGTTTACTAGGTTTCTCAACAAAGGCTCGAGATATAATGATCGAACATCACGATAGAAGATACAGTGTAGAAGGATATGATCCAGACTCTTGATTCCATTAACACCACAATGACATAATCTATCCACATAAGGAGTCAACATTTCAACCTCCTTGGTGTTCTTGAGAGTCCACTGACCCACTGGGGCACAATTTCCAGGGGCACAGATGATCAGTATGATAGGGGAATCAGATATGATTAGTGAACTGGAAAATCTGGAGGCTTTTACCATAATAAATAACATATTAAAGAGACTGATTATGCTAGCATGGTGACTCAAGGTTGTTGCATTTGCTTTTCTCAGTTTTTTTGGTATTCCACCCGCAAGGTTTGCCACCATATACTTATTTTTCTGACAATCCCATGCCTTTTAAGAGTTTTCTTTGTGCCAGAGTAAATGTCATCCCTTCTAAGGAGAGCTAGTCCCACCCTCTACTTTGATGGTAGCCATTTTGTGGTGGCACCACCTGCCTCTCTCAAAATTCCATTGTGCCTGAAAGCTTAACGAGGTTGGAGACTCTTAGTTTGGGATTTAGGCCAAAAAGTGCGGGAAAACAGGGACTGTCCCAACGGGTGGGGCAGCATCAATATAGACTGCAGCCCATCCAGGGATGAGGCAGTCTTCATCCCTGGGAGGCAGCAGAAATTCAGCCACTCCACAGTCGGCTGGACTGGGGAATGAATGGAAGTTTCCCTGCTCTCTTGGGCAAGAGAGAGAGGCTGAAGTACAAGGAGAGATCCTATCCTGAGTCCACAATCTCCAGAGGTAGAGAGCATTCTGTGTAAGAGGATGGTGTTTAACCCCTATTGATTTATGCCCTGTTGGTTCATAGTGTGTGCTTACTCCTACAATGTGTGTGTGCTCCATAACTGTGTAAATAGTTAAATAAATTCTTTTATTTGGGCTAATAATCTGTGTTGTGCTCTGACCACATAGTGTTCCCCGCTCTACACAGTACCAAATGTAGGGGGTAGCCCAGGGAAGCAAGGAAAGGCCAGAACCTTGGGTCACCGACTTTCCAGGGATCCCCCAAAGATTGGGGATTCCATCTCCAAACAGGGAGATTTGGCCAGAGGGGTCTCACTGTCCCTCTAAAAAGGCAGTGATGATTCCGTGAGTGGTGGCAGCAAGGGGTGAGATACGCCCACAGGACAAAGGTGGAAGGCAAACAGCTGAGTTGTAAACTGGGGCCCGTTTTGCCACAGTAGGCAACCAACTTGGTTCAGATAAAGGAAGGAAACCCTTCGCAGGCCTTTGTGAGGAACTCATTGGGGCCAGTCCTGACTAGGGCTGCCAGCCCCAGGTAGGGAGATTCCATGAGATTTTCTGGTAGAGTCTATGGAAGCCAGGGTTTGGGGAATGAAGAGGCCTCAGCTGAACAGAATGCCATACAGCCCATCTTCCAAAGCAGTTATTTTCTCTGGGGGGGGGGAGAGATCTGTTGTCTGGAGTTCAGTTGTGATACCTAGTGATCAGTTACAGCAAACTGAAAAAATTAGTGCTTAGAAAAGCCAAGACCCTCTGTATGGATAATCTCTTGGTAGAAAGTTGGAAGTAGTCTTTTATCAGAAATTTACAGACAGATGTTCAGCTCACATGCAAAGATACGGTATTCCGACCTTTGAGAATTACAGTCTTGAGTAATCTATGAGCACTTCTGCATGATGGAAACAATGTCAACACGTAAGAGTCTTGTGCCCTCTAGTGCCCTCTAGTGTAGAATGTAGACTGACCATCACCTACCAGTCCTGTTAGCAACTGTTGCTGGTCATCTTCATCTTTGAAGAGAGGAACCAGCCTTCCTTCTGAAGTTCAAAGATGTAAGAGAAGGAGAAAGAATATTATGCAGGACCAGTGCTATGTACTAGAGAGCCTGAAAACATTTTTCAAATGGGGGCCCAAATGTGATCACATTTTGGATGTGACAGAAGCTTGCACTACACCAAAGCAGGAATTATATATTACTAGGTTGCTACCTGTGCTTCGCTACGGTATTTAAGTTCCGTAAATCCAGTTATAATACTGATGATGTGAAATTTGAAATGTGACATTTGTTGTAGGAATTCTAACAGAGAAGATTGTAGTGTAAGAAATGAAGTGAGACATACGTACTTTTTTTCTCTCTCTACTGAAGGACCTCTCTCTAGACCACATTGGTGGTTCTGCCCTCAGGTGCTAGGATCACCAGGCTGCTTGATGAGCTCACTCTGGAGCAGGCCACATAGAACTGTCCATTTAAGAACCAGTCGTCTGTTAAGTCAACTCCTGCCACCTCCCACGAAAGTGATGGCCTCTCTACTTGTGTTCCTGGATTATTTTGCTCATATGGAGACTGTGTTGTTCTGAGCACCTCAGGGTGATCTTGCTGGTACTTGGCCTGTGCAGCTCAGTGCACTGCAGGAGTAAAATGTGCAAAGTCTTTGCCGCATTCCTAAGTTGCCTCCTCCTTGTAGCGTTGAAGTATCTGGCTCGACGTTTGCCAGGAGCTTTCTTGGGGGCAGTAAGAGGTGAGAGGTGTGAGGGGGAGCTGGTGTGAGGGAGTGGTGATGTGGTGGACATTTCTTCAGGTTCATGAGAGAGGCACGCATCAAAATGGCTCCTAGAAATGTCCTTAACTATCTCCCCATAAACATTCATACCCTGGCCTTGCTCCTACACCTGACAGACACCGGCCTGTCTGGTGTTGCGGGGGATTGTATTTAAAGGCATCAGGGAGGCTGGGCCAGCAGCAGCGCTAAGGCAATCCTGCTGAGCAAACCTCCCCAGCGGCTGTAAGCATCCCACCTCCTCTCCTACACCTGACAGGCAGCTGCCTGTCCAGTGCAGGATGGGGAGGGGGGAGTAGGATTAGAAGCCACTGTGGAGGCAGGGCCGGCAGGATCACTAAGGCATTACTGCTGGGGCAGGCTCCCTCGTGGCTTTAATCACCCTGAAACCACTGCTGCACCTGACAAACCATCACCTGTTAGGTGTAGGAGGTGGGGGGAGTGTGTTGGATATATAAATATCTCACCTCCTCTCCTACACCTGACAGGCAGCTGCCTGTCCAGTATAGGAGGGGGAGGGGGGAGGAGTATTAGAAGCCACTGTGGAGGTGGGGCTACACCTGACAGACAACTGCCTGTTAGGTGTAGGAGGTGGGGGAGTGTGTTGGAAGCCATCCCACCTCTTCTCCTACAGCTGGCAGGCAGCTGCTTGTCCAGTGTAGGAGGGGGAGGGGGAGGGGAGGAGTATTAGAAGCCACTGTGGAGGTGGGACTGCACCTGATAGACAACTGCCTATTAGGTGTAGGTGGAGGGAGTGTGTTGGAAGCCACCCCACCTCCTCTCTTACACCCGACAGGCAGCTGCCTGTCCAGTGTAGGAGGGGGAGGGGGGAGGAGTGTTAGAAGCCACTGTGGAGGTGGGGCTGCATCTGACAGACACTTAGGGGTTGAATTTCTAAAAATCCCTTCTTAGCAAGCACCTACGCCATGGTAGGAGCGCTCTCCATGAACTTGGTGTCTGTAGGTCCAGGGGTTTGGCCTGGGCATTGATTTTACGGTTGAGGGGACTTTCTTTTATATATATAGATTATCTGCTCTGTGCCCTGTGGCAGGGTTGGGCAGGATACTCATGAAAGAAATACACAAGCGATGCACTTCAGACTTTTCCAGAAATAATGTATTAAAGCTCATTATGGGCTATCATCCTTGTTTACAAAAGCAACAACAAAAGTTGGGTCAAGATTATTCCTCCAGCTTGTATGACATTACTTCACCTTTCCTGTATGCTGTGACAATATATGCCATCATTTATGGAGTGTCCCTGATTCTTTTGTTCACATTATTTGCTGATATTTATATCTAGCTCCCTCCTCTGGGAATGTCAAGGCTCTACCAGTGAACAGCCATCTATGCTCCCACCCCATTAAGAAAGCACGGTGCACAAGAGCATGTTCAAAGTTCTTATGTTTCCCTCACTGTGACTCCAAAAAGAAAAGATAAAAAACCACGCATGACCCAAACTCCGACTGACAGCTTCTTTTGTACCAGAGTAAGCCTCAACAAACCTAATGTACGCAAAGGCCTACTACATGCAGGAAAATCATTCATACCATCACCACAAGACCCTTAGAGCCAGCAAGTCCAACAAACTTGTTGGAAACAATATAGAACACTTTTGTTTGGAACTTGACATTTACAACTCGCAGCATCTAGAGGGATTTCTATTATTAATTATTCTGCTGTAGGATGGCATCTATGGAGAAGTAGGATGGAGAAGTATACTGCAAACATCAGTGATTTAGAAGATGTCCCCATATCCACCTAATTTATCCAAATAGCTTAGTACAGATTCATGATGCTTAATTATGCAGGAATACTATTTATAAAGGCTGGTATTCAAAGGGAAACAATATCTGTTATGAAATTTTATATACAAGGTTCAATTTATTAGAGGTTCTGCTTCTCTGCTTTCCTTGATTTAAAAGGGAGCTTTTGACTCTATTTCCAGGAATCTTCTGAAGGATAAACCAAAGAAGATTATGACGAACAAAAGATTTTTTCTTATTTGCAAATTGTACTCCTTAACAAACTGCTGAGTGAAGTTTGCAGGGTGATTTAACACATGAGATTCCTTCCAACTGGGGGGGCTAAACAGGGGTGCATTTTGGCCCCTTATTTGTTCAGTTTATTCATGAACAACTTGGCGCCCGCTTTGAGGATGGCAGACAGCCACTTTCCTAAACTGGGTTCCCATCATATCCCATTATTGCTATACACTGATGACACTCTGCTATTACCCTATACACACCTGGGTCTTAAGTGCCACTTGTTCACTTTTGTGGCTTATTGTAACTCCAATTTATTGTCTGTTAATTTTGAAAAATCCAAAATCATGGTCTTTTCAAAGACCTGGAGATATTTCTGCCGGAGAGTCAAGGGCTATGTTGCTGAACAAGTCAGTTTAAATATTTTAGTATAAATTATCAGTAAAATAATAGATGACAACTCAATGGGAAAATGCACTTTGTGTTAAACCAAGTCAACTGGTATTTCACTTGACTCGCTTTTCATGCTGGAGAAACAACAAGCTTTTAGAGTGTTGGGTCAGAGATTGTTGGATACTGAGAGACAAACACTGTACTCATTAGCTAATAGGACATGTTCCCCAACTGTGTATGGCACTGATTACCGGGCTCCTGCTGCTTATTTCTTGCCCTCATATCTCTGCAAATCCGCAGAGCTTTTAAGCTCACAAGGTTCAATGTTTTGCCTTTTGCAGCCCTTTACGGCAGATTCTGGAGAACTCGTCAGGAAAGACTGCCCATGTACAGCTGGAAGCGCCTGAATTCTTATTTCATGTTTTATTTTACTGTAACTTTTATACGGAGTAGAGAAACTCCTTAATTAGCCCTGTTTTGTGCAAGCTTAAAGGTCGCTCTGACAAGCAGCTAGTTTTAGCTCTTCTATCTGACCAGAACCCTCATATTGCTAACCAAGTAGCCATCATGAGGCTCCAGGAACTGACTGTCAATAAATTTGGATAATTTCCTTTTCTTTCCTTCTTTAAACTTTGATCATTCATTTGTGTTATTTCTTGATTTGTGTGATCTGCTTATGCAATTGTAACAAATGCTTAATAAAAGTTTTTGATTTTAGAGGTTCTGCTCTTCACACTATTCCTAGCTCTGGAATCAAATACATACAAATATATGAATTTCAACAGCCTACAAGCCACCTCCCCCCCCCCCAAAAAAAGAAAGCACGCCAACCAAAACATAACAGATGCCAACTAGACAAGTTTAAACAACTAGACACAGTTTAAACAACTCTATCACAATTCTAAGCACAGTGGTATTTTATTATGCTATGAGCAAGACACACCATAGTACAAGATTCTCATCTTCCATTTACACTTTAAAATGCTTTTTGGTTTAATCATGACATTTCTTCTTTCTGGACGACAGGTGAAATATTCAAGCTGCACTTTCATGGTGCACATGTGTTATGTATGGAACAGAATGTATGAATGTATTGAGCTTGAGTCTAAGCAAGGTATTGTAAACCTATCAGAACAAGGGAAGTTCTGGAGGGAAGCAAACTGATTGGTCTTTATGTACTGAATATGATTGGATGTTATCTGACTTGTGGGCTTGGCTTACCAAGCCCGGACTGTTTAAAAAGGAGCCTGTTGCTCAGTTGTTTGTCTCATTCTGGTTCTTCTGACTTCGTGTTCAGTAAAGCTGTTATCACTGTTCACCTGCTGCCTCAAGTCTCGTATCTAACAACATGCTACTGCACTGGCCTGAGATCTGCACAGAGATTATGACTGACGCAATTATGGAAAATGTGAAAGCAAAACCTGTGCACAGACTTTTTCATACGCTGCAAGCCCAAGTGTTTCCTGTGTAACACAAATATTTTCTGCTATATTCATAACATTCAGCACTGCCCTAATTTCTCACAAGATCTGGAATTCATAACAGTATCTAGATACCGTGACTTTCAACCATCACAATTTTGGGTAAACATGGTCTCTCCAAAATCCCATTGATTTCAATGGAAGGGGGTTAAGCGCTTAAAAAAAAGTCTCCCACTGAAATCAGTGTAACCTAGAGCATACTCAACCTCCTTGAATCGTATATATTGTTTTGAGGACTGCCAGTGCATATTGGGCCCATTATAGAGGGAAGATGCAGGCTTTCCCCCCATGTCTTCTAATCTAATGTTATTTCAAAGTGAATATACTTGTCTATAATTTATTCCTAAGGAGGATGTTTTCTACTATCCATCTGTCAATGGTCCTACTCGTTTAAAAAATCAAAAGCAAAATGCCAACATTGTAGTGAAAAAATGCAGGCTTACACTGCTGCAGGATTCAAAATATACTTGCATGATCAGCCTACAGTGACTAGAGGAGAAGGATTTCAATATGACACCATTCTTCAAGATTTTGATAAGATAATGATAGCAGCAGAACACGTTTGTCTTACCTGTTCTCCATGTATTGAAGTTGGAATGCACCCTGTGGGGAAAGCAATGATATCAAAGTGTGCTTTAAAAGAAGATTTGCTAAAAACCAGGGGTCTTGTTGTAGAAAAAGAGCTGCCGGAGCTCATTAGCATAACTCATTAGCATAACTTATTTGCATATGCCACGCCCCCTGACATCACCGGAAGTGACAGAAGGCCACACCCCCTGACATCACCGGAAGTGTGTCAGAAGGCCCGGCTACTTACCCTCCTGCTTCATCCTCATTCCCAAACGGAATGAGGATCGAAGCAGAGGGCGGGGTAAAGAAGGGGGCGGGGCTTCACCACGTGACCGCCCCGCCCCCTAGAGGTTCTCTTCCGGAGCTCCGTACCTGAGAGCTCCCCCCCGACTAGAGCCCTGCTAAAAACTATGCATAGACACACAGATACAGACACATGTACTTCAAGTCCCTGGAAGTCTTGTGGTATCATAAAGATTCATGTTTACTGATGCACAGGAACTAGGAGACAAGATGTGTGTTGTTTTATGGTATTTGTTTTTTTTAATTGTGGCTGGATTCCACAGAACAAGGATATGAGAAACAGAACTCTCCCAAGGAGGCGCAGGCAACTTGCTAGGGAAGATCTGAGTTTCTCTTCATCCCACTCTATGGAATACTCTGGAATCAAGCAGTTCCCCCCAGCACACACATAATGGTTCATTGCCAAGTAAAATATTTTGAGAACCCCCTTCCCAAGTGGCAGTTATTGTTTCTAGGCACTTGGAGAGACCTCCATTTTTTTTTAAAAAAAATTATTTTATGCAAAAATATACAGAAAATCCCAAATTACATGTTACTGGGTACAGTCAGCAAAGCAAAGATATTTGTCTAAGACATTTAGTACACTTTTGTTTCAAAGTCAGGTTCTGAATCTTGGGAAACCAGTAACTGTCATTAGGTCCAAGCACATCCATATATCTCTTTCCCAAGTATGCCCCCTATCTGCTGATACCTAAATCCGCAGATTGGAGCCACACTTACCCAAAGCAGGTTTTTCTGCAAACTTGGGTGACTCCCCCCCCCCAAGTTTGCAGAAAAATCTGAAATATTTTTTTAAAAATATGGGGGGAGTTTAATTTCCCCAAAAGTAAAATAGCATTGTCTGCACATGTGCAGACAACACATTTACTTTTGAGGGCCCAGCTGCTGTGGCTCATGTGGAGTGGCTCCAGGCCTGGCCATGGTAGTGGGGAATGCTAGGAGTAGCTCCAAGCCCAGAGCGGCTCCTAGACAACACTGCAGCCAGGCCTCAAGGTGATTGGTTGGAACGCAACAGCTCAGCAATGGGGGGGGGGAGATGGAATTCCCCCCATGAATTATGCAGGACCCTCCTTTCGTTGTCTATTGAACAAAGAAGATGGAAATTGTCTCATCTCTGATGCCTACCCATCAGAAAGGCCAAAACTGCATTCTTTGAGCACAGGAGTACCAAATTTTAAATAAGGTAAAAGTGCCTGCACGGGGCAAAAAGGTTCCCTTGCCCTTTGAGATATGTTTATGTATTTATTTCTAAACTGCCCTCCCCCAGAGGGCTCAGGGCAATGTACATCATATTTAAGATACAGTTCAGTTAAATTAGACAAGGGATGGCAAATCGTAGAAAGAAGTATATTAACAGGACAAAACAAACACATAACACAATACTTGTGAAGTAACTGTAAAATGCCTTGATCAAAAAGGGATCAAAAGGTGGGGACATCAAGTAGGGTTGCCAAATGCTACCTACCTTGCCGGCGGGGGACTCCAGCGTGGCTCCCGGTGTGCGCGCCGCATGCACGTCACAGGAAAGTGACGTCATGACGCCGGGCACGCTGGGGGCGGGGCCACGACCATACAAGGGAAAACCATAGAGTTTTCCCTTGTATGGCCGTGGCCCCGCCCCCAGCGTGCCCAGCGTCATAACGTCACTTCCCTGTGACTTGCACGCTGGGGTAGGGTTCCCCCTGGGGCCCGATTCCCCGGCGTCGGGGAACGGGCCTCTGGGGCAGGGGGATTTCCGCCCCCCGGGGGGATTTGGCAGCCCTAACATCAAGCCAATTACTGCTGTATAAGAGGACAAAAGGCACAGGCCAGTGAAAATTCTGTTTGAGCAGGAGAAGGCACCGGTTTCATTCAAAATTGGAATTTTCTGCCTAGTAAACAGGGTTAACATTTCATTAAAAATATACAGTGACCGGAAGGCAGACACCACAAAACGTGTGTGTGTGTGTGTGTGTGAGGGGTGAGAGTATAGGTTTGAGACAGAGAGGGAGAGAGACAGACACTCACTATATTCAAACACAAGAAACACAACCGTTCCAGAATTAAGACTTGTTTTGCAAGTTCTTAAATACTGTGGAATACTATCAACAATTCTGGTTGTTGTATCTCAGAAAGGATATTGCAAAGCTGGGAACGGTGTAGAAGGCAGCCGCCAAAGTGACTGAATTGCTGAAACACATTCCATATAGGGAATGGCTAAGGGATTCGAGCTTTTTCAGTCTAAAGAAAAGATGACTGTGCCAGAGGGGGGATAACAGATGTGATCTGGCCACGGTGACCCATGCTGATCACATCCAGGTTAGATTATTGTAACGCACTTTATATATTTGAAAACTGTCCAGAAACTTCAGCTGGTCCAGAAAACGACAACAGACAAACTATTGTTAGGAGCTAGATATAGGGATTGTATCATTCCTGTGCTGAAAGACCTACACTGGCTGCACCTCTGTTTCAGAGCACAATTCAGAGAGTTGGTTCTTAGCTTTGCAGTGTAATCCTACGCAGAGTAAATCCAGCCTGGCCTGGATTAAGGCCCTAAAACAGCTTGGAGCTAGGGTACTTGAAGGATCACCTCCTTCTAAACTGTACAGCCTGAAGATTCTTCCCAAGCCCTGCTATCTGTGACCCTGCCTGCAGAGGTGGGTGGCAACCAGACACAGGGCTTTTTCAGTGGTGGGCATTTGCCTTTCGAATGCTCTATCCCTGGAGATTCACCTGGTACCTGCTTCACTGTCTGCTAGACATCAGGCAAAATCTTTCTGTCTACCCAGGCTTTTTAGTGGGATGTCATTTCCAGAGGCATTTGCAACTGTGTTCCCCGCCAATCTCAGACACAGCTGGTTTCACTTGGGAAGGCACACATGGACAAGATGTATAAACACTGCCACAGGAGGTGGCGGCGGCTACAAGCATGGAAGGCTTCAAGAGGGAATTAGATAAACATATGGAGCAGAGGTCCATCAGTGGCTATTAGCCACAAGGTATGGATAGGAACTCTCAGTCTGGGGCAAGTGATGCTCTGTATTCTTGGTGCTTGGGGGGTGGGGGCAACAGTGGGAGGGCTTCTAGTGTCCTGGCCCCCCTGGTGGACCTCCTAATGGCACCTGGTATTTTTGGCCACTGTGTGACAGAGTGTTGGACTGGATGGGCCATTGGCCTGATCCAACATTGGCTTCTCTTATGTTCATATCCCCAGAACTAATTGAGAATACAAAGGACATCTACAGTTCACAGCAATTGAAATCAAACACTCTTAATTCAGACCATTGTCAATCAACTCTAAGGAGGGCAACATTATTATAAATACTTACTTTTTCGCGTATTCAAATACAGTTGCCATATATGTTGTGATTCCCTTCACTTCAGTCCTCTGAAATAAAGCATACATTAACTAGAATAAGAGACATTAGGAGATGAAGACGATTCCATTCTACCAACACTTGAAGAATCAGAGCGGATTTTGAAAAGCTCGCAGGAAGCCTACACAAACTCAATAATGTGAAATGCTTAGCCAGAACATCTTCATATTCTACTAGTTCACTGTTGGAGCACCCAATGAGCAACAAGAGAAAGAGGTTATAATTTGTCTCAACACCCCAACTATGGTCAAATATTTGAACAATGTATAGACTGCCTCAATCTTAGTCTCTGTCAGACATATTAGAACAGACTGAGCCACACTCAACCTGTCAAGATTAAAAAGATTAGGAATACCAAAAATTCCTATTCCTAAAATAAGAATTTCTCAAGTTATTAGTCAGAACACAAGGTGGCAAGTTTCCATCCTACACACAGACCAGCTCAGTTCCAATACCTGGGACATTCAGCAACAAGATTCACTTAAACATTTCTGTTTGGTTCATTCAGTCAAGAAAACACAACCTCTGAGACACCTCTATGATGAGGGGTTGTACCAGGACAACTGCTGCTGCAGTTCATTCACCTTCTTCAAATGCAATTTCTCCCACTCCCTCCAAAGCACTTTGCTGTTGAAACGCACGTGTGACTCATCGTACTTCACACATTCCAGGATTGAAATCAGCTTTCCCCAGAAACCTTTGCAATTTTGCACCTGAAATTAAGAGAATAATATTTACATAAGTTATTTCCTGCTACAATATGAAGTATGCAGATAGGGCTAGGATGTACAACATCTAATACCCAAGGAGTTTTTATATTCCAAGCAGACAGAGGCCAGTGGATTTTTTATACCCAGATATTTTTCAACTTTAGTGCAGCCCTGAAGTGGACATTTAGATGAAATACAACGCAAGTCTAATGACGATATTTTTTTGGAGAGGGACACCCTGTGATTGGTCACAAACGTCCCAAGATAATTGCAACAATTCTGCAGCCTGTGGAAGATTATTAAATACTGTAAGGACCTTGCATGTCACGTTAAGAATTAAGATACCAAGAGAGGTTTTTTTGTCAGTACATAACTCTTCCCCACCTCACTCACACAAGCTAGTCTTTGGATAGATACCTGGAAAACATCTGACTTGGATCTGTTATAAAGCTGCCCTGGGGCTATGTGTGTTTACATATGTCATGTCCCCCCTGCCCTGAGTGCTCCCCCCCCAAAAATGCTGCCCTTGGGATAGATAAGATCCACAGAACAGTGGGGAGGAGGGAAATGGTGAAAGTGCCTCCCTTTTTTGTCCACAGAAACCCTCTGTAATATTGATGCCATTTCATTTGCAAGGAAGATCAATAAGCCAAAGACTTGGTTTTGCAGGAATTTTCCATGCAAAAAGCATCGTAGTTTACAATTTTTCAAAGTTATTCTTTCTGTGGAAGTAACCTGCTATTATCTGTAAATCTAAATGCCCAAGCCATTTCATAATCCATCCACCAAGTTAAATTCAACAGATTCTACTTCATGCAGCAAGTACCTGTACTATAAATTGAGAAACAAAGCAGAACAGCAGTGGCCTCTCGTGGCAGCTTTATCAAACTACAATTTTGTGATTATGAATTGATCATGGCTGGTTTTAGAAAAGTGATGGTTTTACTTCACCTTTATCATTCCAGAATGTTGCCAATAAGCTTAAAATCCCAGCAAGAATGTGGAGACATCCCAGTTAAGAAGCCAGTAATTAACAATAAGCTGGAAACTTGTGACCTAAAATCTAGCAATCCCTCCCTCCCTCCCTCCCCCCTCTCTCTCTCACACACACACGTTTATCATGTACATAGATTCCACTTCGACATGTAAAAAAATTACATTCCTATACAAGGAAGTGATCCTGAAGTCAGAACACACTTTCAAAATATATCTATGCAGACAACAAATGACAACATATTTGCAAGAGACAACGATAAAAATTGCATTAGAACCCTCAGACTTTTGGAAGTACTGCGCATTTTTAGTAATTATTATAGCTCTTACATAAATTAGTCCTCTTAAACCTTGCCTTCAGAGCATGAGCCATCCTTCACCCACATCCCTCACCATATTTTCTTATGACAACTTACCTTCAGTACTGGTAACGAGATAATGTGAGTTGTGCATGTTATTCCAGGAATGAGCTGTAAAGACAAAAGGGGAGTATGACAGGAAATCCCTAAAGGCTATTTATTTACTGTATTTAGAGGCTGCCTTTCTCACCCAGACTCAAAGCGGATTACACAGTGTAAATTGATAACAATCCACGGGAAGAGACATCTAAGGTAAAGGTAAAGGTTTCCCTTGCTCGAAAGCTAGTTGAATCCAACTCTAGGGGGCAGTGCTCATCTCCGTTTCCAAGGCGAAGAGCCAGTGTTGTCCGAAGACATTTCTGTGGTCATGTCGCCAGCATGACTAAAAGCTGAGGCACACAGAACCCTGTTATCTTCCCACCAAAGCAGTACCTATTTATCTACTGGCAATTTCTGTCTAATGAGCACAGTGTAAATCACTATAATCAGTATTAGGAGACGTCAAATGAGCAAAGACTAGGATTACTGAAAACTGAATGAGCATAGCGTATTAGGCATGATACAGAGTGCGGATATAATGAAATAAAATGGTATCACATCAATAGAAAACAATGAAACAATAACAGTGTAATACATGCAGCAAACTGATAACGTCGTGTACACAGTGGTATAATCCACAGACCCTTACCCTCTTAAAAAACAAACCTTCCTGAACTAGTCCGTTATAATTACCTTTATAGAAAAGCTCTCCTGAACAACGCTGTTTTACATGATTTGCAAAATGATAAGAGAAGCATGGCACCTTTCCTGACCTACTCAGGCAGAAGGTTCCACAAGGTGGGGGCCACAACAGAGAAAGCACGCACAGGCAGTTGTTGGTCTTGCTCATTTGCAGAGTGGCACCAGCAGAAGGCCCTAAGCGGATCAGCAGAGCTGTTATAGAGGAACACAGATGGAGAAGCGGTCCTGCAGTGCAAATTGTAACCCTTATAGGTAAAGGTAAAGGTTCCCTTGCTCGAAAGCCAGTCGAATCTAGCTCTAGGGTTGTGGTGCTCATCTCCGTTTCCAAGCCGAAGCGCCAGCGCTGTCCGAAGACATTTCTGTGGTCATGTGGCTGGCATGACTAGACGCCGAGGCACACAGAACGCTGTTACCTTCCCACTGAAGTGGTACCTATGTATCTACTTGCAATTTCTTGCTTTCGAACTGCTAGGTTGGCAGGAGCTGGAACTGGGGACGGGAGCTCACTCCGTGATGCGGCACCCGGGTCTCGAACTGCTGAACTACCAACCTTCCACAGCCTGCAGTTCAGCGTCTTAACCACTTGAGCCACCGCAGCTCCATAACCCTTACAAACAAAAAGGGGGGATATTCATCTGCTCTATGAAAAAATGTACATATTCAAGCAGACTTATTAAAGGAGAGAGAACTTCATGGACATATTTCCCAAGTGAAAAGAGACCTCCATGACATTTTAAAGAATATATATATATATTTATTTTTACCTCATTCCAGCACACGAGTGATGTATATGGCAAATGTTTATCCAGATTGACGGCCTCTGGACACATTCTCCAGTACAAAGAAGCTGAATGCAGAGAGAGAGAGAGAGAGAGAGAGAGAGAGAGAGAGAATATGTTTGCAGGAGATTTTTTTTTTACAAGTCAAAAACTACATTATTTAATCTCTAGCATCGTTCTTTCAGTTGAACATTACTTCCCTGGCTCAGGTTTCTTCCCCGCTCAAAGAGTGAGGAAGAAGATACCAACGAATGAAAGCATACATTAACATAGGCAAGGGTGAACCCGCAAGAAACTTGTGGGTTTGGAGGGGACAGTGGAGACAGTGGAGGACAGGAGTGAGGCACAGGCAGCTGCACTGGGCTGGTAGTAGGAATGGTCAGGAAGTGGGGGGAGAAGATCCCCCCCACCCACCAGCAATTCACTGCCACCAAGCAAGGCAGGGAGCCACAGCAGACCTGGCAGCAGTAAGGAGTTTGGGAGCTGTGGAGCTCACCTTCTGCTGGCCCCTGGGAATCTCTTTCAGCTGCCTCCAGCTCCTAGACCCTGATGCTTCTTCACCACTGGCTTTTGAAGCTGCTGGTGGCCCAGATGGGCCCCACTCCTGCAGTGACAATAGGGCAAAAAGTGTACCATCCTCTGAGCATGCTGCCAGCCCTTCCACAGCTCCTGTCCACCCCCCACCATGAGCAACGCAGCTGGGCCCCACCATGGTTCCCCCCCCACTGTGAGCCATGCACCCAAGTCTATCATGGTTACTGGCTGCTACCCCCACCATCAGTGATGCAGCCAGGCCCACCGTTGTTCCTGGCCACTCCCACCCCCCACTAACAGGGGCCAAAAAAAAGAGGAGTTAAGTACATTGTCTGCCAACACAGAGACAATGCTTTTATTTTTAGGAGGGAATTAAACCATCAATGTAATTTTTTTCTGATTTCAGATTTTCCTGCAAACATGGGGGTCCCCCCAAGTTTGGAGGAAAATCTCCTTTGTTTCAGTGTGGCCCTGATCTGCAGCTTTAGGTATCCACAGATCTACCCACATCTGAGAAATAGATATATAGATTTTCTTGTGAGATTTGCCAGAAAAAGCATAACCAGAGGTCATTTCGGGGGGGAATGCGGGGGAACGCAGTTCCCCTGGGTGAGGTGCAGGGGGGCGGGGCACATGACGAAGCCCCGCCCCTGCTTCTGGCCGCCCCGCTTCCAGCCCTCATTCAGCCAGGAGGAGGCAGGAGAAGAGGGAGGGTAAGTTGCTCCCTCCCCGCCTCTCCCCACCCCTGCCTTCCTGGGGCCAGGGAGGGCCTTGGCGGGGCTTCCTCGCACTCCCGCTGGCCTTGCAGGTCCACCGCTGGGCCCCTGATGTCAGGGGGTGTGGCATATGCTAATGAGTTATGCTAATGAGTTCCCCTAGCTCTTTTTCTACGAAATGACCCCTGAGCATAACTGACAAGTTATGATAACCAAAGATGTAGCTGTGTGGTTCAAATATTAGTGAACAAAGTTTTATCACTTCTGCTTGCATGGGAGGGAAACAACTGCAGTTTTCAACATATAAATCAGATTGACTATTACCAAGAGTACTAACATATGATTGGCTCTATTGTTGACAAGGTGCTTCATTCGCTGAGGCTGTAGGGGTAAACCCATAAATATTTTTCTGTGGCATACATATACACACCACAAGGTCTTAAAGGTGCCACTGGACTCAAACTTTGTTCTGTGGCTTCAGACCAACATGGCTACCCACCTGAATCTACCATAAGAAATGTTACCTATAATTCAATAACCAGAGGATCTACACACCCTAGAGTACCCATTGTGTTTATGTACTCAAAAAGCTAAATTCAGTGCATGCAGTTACTGATATCAGAGTTTCATATTACAAATCAGTGTGTTTGTTTTATGGTTTTTCATTCTCTGTAAGCAGTCTTACTTACCTCCCATACTGTGCCTTCTTGTTTCAAAATTAAAAACAGCACAGAAAATGCATCTCTCAAGAGCATGAGTCTTCCCTGGGCTTTAGGCAGGACACCACCTCTTATGCATACAGGGGAACTTAACAGATCAGTTTCAATCACGTCTCAATTGTCAGGTGTTGTGTTAACTACAGAAATCATATTGTGTCCACGTAGCCCTGGATTCCATAAGGCCTCCAGAACCATTCTTTTACACAAGGCATTTTTAATTTATATCTCTAACAGATTGACTCATTTCATTTTAATATTGCTACTGTAGAACTTCAGATGAGGTGGGAAATAAAAAGTCTCACTGAGAGAAAAGATATAAATATGATAAATAAATAAAATTAAATCATGGTGCCATCCTTACTTCTAGGGTGACAAACAATCCTAGAAATACCTACCAATAATAAATTCCTGTATAGGGTCAAATGTAAAACAAGTTGAAATGTTCTCAGAAATCCACTTAATAATCTACAAGAGCAAAAAAACAAAAATGGTCACTTTTTATTTGTTGAAATTTTATCTTGCACTATCTGTACAGAGTTTGGGGAGGTTTATATGGCTATTAGGGATGTGCATTCGGATCCACCCAAGCTGCAAATGGCAGTATTTTTCATGTATATTTCGGCTTCCCAAATGTATCTCGGGAAAATTGGGAAAAAATCCAAGAAAATCCCAGATATACTTGGGAATTACTGGTAGATCTGAAAACAGCAGAGAGGTGGCATCTGATTGCCCCTGCCTCTCAGCTGTTTGTTGGGCTTCTACCGCAGTCCCTTTTTTGTCTAAAGCCCCAGGATCAGCTGTGCCAGGAGAAGCAGACTGTTCCCAACGGCTCCACTTGGGGCTGCAGAAGAAGCCAGCCCCAGAAACCGCTGTGCTGCAGGGAGCAACCTGCTAGCTGTAGCACAGCAGATCCTGGTTTAAACTGCACTGTAGGAGAAGCCAAGCTAGCCCCAAGATTGGGCTGGCCTTTTCTCTTTACTGGTAATTTTCTTCTCGAGTCTATTGGACCCGGAGGGGGGGGGGATCGGCTTTCTGAAAAATCCTGAACCCCAGTACCATACTTGTATTGGGATCTGGGATTTTTCGGAAATACTGAAATTGTGGGGGGTCCAACAGACCCAAACCGCAAAATGCCGATTAATAAAAATTGCACACCCCTGATGTCTATCCCATTCTCCATTTGTTCCCCATATCTACCTAGTGAAGTAGGTTAGGCTGAGAAAGTGACCATCCCGAGGCTATGTTTCATGGAAAAAGGGGGTTTGAACCTGGGTCTCCCTGCTTCCAGTCCAAACTCTAACCACTACCTAACACTGGAGACGAAGAAGAAAAAGAGACTGAATTTATACTCTGCCCTTCACTACCTAAAGGAGTCTCAGAGTGGCTTACAAACTCCTTTCCCTTCCCCTCCCCACAACAGACACCCTGTGAGGTAGGTGGGGCTGAGAGAGCTCTGACAGAAACTGGTATTTTTCAAGAACAGCTCTTATCAGAACTATGGCTTGCCCAAGGTCATCCAGCAGGTGCAAGTGGAGGGGTGGGGAATCAAACCCGGTTCTCCCAGATTAGAGTCCGAGCACTTAACCACTACACCAAACTGGCTAATGTGTGTTGTGAAGGGCTTGCCATGAAAGTTAGTGAGTGACCTCGGGTCACTGATTGCTATCAGATCAGTCTTCTGCTGGGAAATTATGATGCTTTGCTTTCCCAGGTCCCCACTACCTCTGCTGTCCCCCACTGGCCAAGGACAAGAAAGGTACATTCCACAGCTACTCCCTTGCACAGTTCCAGATGGCTGGCAGGCAAGACTTGTTCTCACACTCTTAAGGCTTCTCAGTTCTTATTCAACTCTCTTATTTTCTTTCAAGTTTCTCAGATTATCTCTACCGTATTTTAGTTCCTCACATGTAACTAGTACAACAGTAGTCTTCAAATTTCTTTTGATTTTCACTGTTTCCCAATTTGCACCTGCCCAGCTAGAACTGTGACCCATTCACGTGGCCAGCCTGACAAACACAATCTAAAGCATCCTCTAAAGTTCACCTGTTAAAATATTGTATAGGGTGAGGTGAAAAGATCCATAACTATTTGCTTTCAGACCATGACACACTATCCTTGAGGCCCTGAGTAAACTGAAATGTATTTGCTTTCATATTTTAATAGTCAAGATATGCTGGCACCCACATTTCCATGGCAAAAAGAAAAATGCTTCCCTACCTCAGTTTCTGACTCTGTTGTGCTCCCAACATGCAGCAGCAGACAGTGCAACGTGGCCATCCTGTCACCATCCAACTTGCTGTTCCACAGGAACTGTAACAAAGCTTGCTTGCTTATTTCAAGAGTAAACATTCTTCCTGTGCTGAGATCCAAGACCACTGATTTGAGAGGGGAAACTATAGCACTCTTGTGCAATCCATTAATTTTTGCATCTTCACCTGAACATTCAGCATTGGAGAAAAGTAATATGCATATGATTGTTTTATGATCCAGTAACACATAGAAATCCCCTTAGCACCAAAGAATCCCAATTTCGGTCATAATGCAAACCATGACTCTTCGCATGCCAATGTTCAGCATACTTCAAGGCACTACAAATGTGTCAAGTAGGCCCAAATACCACTAAAGCCAAGACAGTGACTAATATTTACTAGAGAGGCTGTGACTTTTTTTTGTCTACAGGTGACCATCAAGTTGTATTATCTAAAGGGGGAGTCAAATATTCTTTCCTGACCTAACGGTGTATGTAAAGGCTGTTCATCTATAGTAACTGATCACAGCAATAAGAAGAGAAATACCTGAGCAATAAATCAGCTAACAAAGTGCTAAGCTAACCAAATCAGAAGGGTGTACAGATTTAAAGTTTCCAGAAATCTGGAAGCCATGGGAATTCCCCCCCCCAGTTTTTCCCCTAGAAAAAATGGACATTTTGGAAAAACTTGAAACATATGCAATGCTTCCTTTTGTATCAAATCTAAACTTATTTCAATATTTAACAGCATAAAATGAGTCATTGATAACTTAGCATATAAAATTGTACTATTTGGCATTTGTATGGAATTTAGAAGTATAAATGCCTTAGTTTTCTATAAGAATTATAAACATACCAAATACTTCAGAGAGAATTGCAAAATACTCCACCCATTGCCAACTTAGCACATATATCTTAATTTTGCCATCGGAGAAGAAAAGTTAAAGGTAGGACACAAACTGAGTAACAAACAAAACAAGCATATTATTTGGGCAGAAATACTCTCACACAATCACAATATACAATACAGCCAAAATACCTGGATATCAAGTGAAACTTTGTAACACTGAACTCCTTTAATAGTATATTATCATTAAAGACATTATGGCATATTAATTGTAGATAAGTAGAATTTGTATTGCATGAGGCCAAAGGCCATAACAATATAATGACAGCAGCCCAAACAGTAATAAATATTACAGTACTAGCCTGATACCTGTGCTTCTTCTTCTTCTCCCTAATCAGTTCTTCTTCTGCCCTGGCCCCTGCTCCTCCTTCCTTCCCAACTTTCTACCCAGAAACTGACTTCCACAAGCCTAAATGCCAGTCGTAGAATGCAGCTTTGGCTCAAGGATGAAAATGCCCCCTTGTTGTCCAGTCCTCCACCTGGGATGACACACAGTGCATGTTTACTGCAAAGGACTGCTGTAAACACAAAATGGAGGACAAGAGACCATGTACACTACCCTAAGTTCTTTAGAAGAAGGGTTACAATAAAAACATGACAGGTATTGATCAGGGTTTATATCCAGACTCGTTCTGATTTTAAGGAATTGTTCCAAATTTGTCAGGATAACAGAAGAATTGCTAGACGAAGACTTTGAGCTTTCCCTCCCAAAAAAGTGGTACGCAAACATAAGATAAATTCTGTTTACTCATACCTTATGTTTATTCAGACCTTTACCGATTAAACCAGCATTTTGAAATCTCTTAAAATAAAGAATAAAGGCTTCTCTGCTTCTCCACTGGAAAATGGCAGATGGATAAAAGGAAATAAAGAGAAATATTTAAGGGGTGATTTTTTTCAGCTTATTCTTTCTATTGTCCACAAACTTTTTACTCCTATCCAGGCACAGGGAGGGCCAGTGAACAATTTTTTTATTATGAACAGATGCTGCCAAACTGACTGTTAAGAAAGTCCCACTGTACCTGTCAGGAAGAAGTTACAGCACATCAAGTCAGGATACTGAGTGTTAACAAGATGCAGAAAGTGTCCAGGCAAGAAGACAGCGACATAATAATCTGTGGGGTTAAAAACAAAATGAAAGGACTGTCAAGCTTTAAGAACTGCTTATCCTCAGAGCTCAAGTTGATTTGACAGATGAGTTAAGAGTGAACAAGCTCGGCTACCTGAAATATTCCACAGATGGACAATCTGATTTTTTTAAAAAACTAACCTTGTATCACACACACACACACAAAGTGCAACCAGCTTAATGACTTTTTTTCTTGTTACAGTGAGCTGGGTTGAAAGAGTTGTGTCTGCACCTCCCAGAGACAAAACAACAATAATAATAACCCTGCAGGCTATGACATAGGAAACAGCTAGCCAGTGCATTTACACTGTCTCCAGCAGCATGTAATGAGCTCATGATTCCCAACAAACAAAGATAGTTACTCCCCTGAGTGAGATAATCAATTTAGAGAATGGTGCTTATTTACCAACTCAAATAATTTTAGAGTCATGGCAGACCCATGTGACACAAAGTAAAACATGCCCATTCCTCTTGAGAGAAGGAGAACTGCCTCTAGTACTTGGGTTCATAATTCTTAATAGCAAAGAAGCAAGAGGAGAGGGATAACCTTTGATTCTCAGCTTACCAAGATTCAAAAACAATAGATCTTTCACTTGCAAAGAATCCATTCTTTCCAAAGCAACAGTATATGTTTTACCACAACCTGATGAGACAGAGAGGGGTGTTTCAGTATACACAGATCCAGCTTTAAGCACAATTTCTGAAAATAGAGGACAAAAATTGGTAGGCAGGCTACATATTGATCTTGAACTTAAACCTGTTCTCATTTATACCACAAAGTCCTGGCCGGAGCCTGGCAACGAAGTCCAGGACAGAGCCCAGGTCTACCAGACCTACTGTGCAGGAAGGTGGCTAAGTTTGACCCAATGTCAAACACACACATCTCTAAAAAAGTAGGACTGGCATAATCGAATAAACCATATAATACCTTTTCTTGACAAACCCAGGTCCCTGCCACACGGCAGGGAAAACACCAGCCAAAGTGCGGCTAATTAGAACCGCACCAAAATAGAGATGCCGCGGCGGGATCCCATGGATCCCCTGAGCCGCGGCGCCATTGCTCCCCGGCACGATCAGATGCCGGGGAGGAAGACATGGTCAGGAGGGGGAGGCTGCCGAACTGTGCATGTGTGAGCATGCGCAGTTCGGCCAGGAGCTGGGGATGCGCCGGCAGACGGACGCGCCGGCGATCCCACAGCCGGCCTTGATGCGGACTTCCCAGATGAACCACCTCGGTAGGTGGTTCATTTTTGCTGCGGGGTTTTTGGCGGAAGGGCCGGATTGGGAACGGGCGTGCAACGCTTCCCAGATGTTGCAGTGGGATCGCGCCCGTTTGCTGCTGCCCTGATTCGGCCCTCTCCCGGCCCAAAACCTCTCGTGTGACCGGGGGCCCAATGACACAATACAGTGTGCAAGCTATCAAGCTCACACAGTTAATGTGTCATTTAGTTGGTCTTAATAAAAGGCATTACGTAGATTGTATCCTTGGGGTTTTGGATTTTACTTTTGTACCAACACAGCTGTAAACAACTTCCATAATCCAAGAAACACAGTATACGGACTTCCAAGACTGCTATGGAAACACAATATCAGGATGGCATCTACTTGCAGATAAAAGATTCCAAATACCTTTTGGAATGATCAAATTATGTAGAATTATTTGATTATAGTATCTTCAGTTGGACATCTAGAAAGTAAAGGTCCTCAAATAAATTCTTGTATTTTCCCCAGAAGCGTCATGATAGAGACGTTTGCCTTGTAGGCAGAGTGGAGAAAATACCTTCAGCATTATAGCCATCTTTCTCCTTTCCAACATGGATCCTTGGCAAACTGGAGTCATTCCTCAGAGTGTAGTGCAATGGCTACAGGGCTGGTCTAGGATCTGGGAGACCCAAATTCTAATCCCCACTCTGCTATGGAACTTGCTGTCTGACCTTTGGTCAGGCACACACTGAAAGCCTAACATACCTCATAGGCTTGTTCTGAGGATAAAATGGAGGGGATGAGAATGATGTAAGGTAGTTTGGGTCCCCATAGGGGAGAAAGGCAGGATGTAAATTAAGAACAGATAGTACTGCACCTTGAGAATCTGGTATAAAAATATGATCCAGATTTCATGCACAGAGAAGTTACTTTTAAGGACACATAATAAAGATCACTTTTTAAGGATTTCTACACCCTAGCCTGAGGTACTCCCTGATTTTGTGCCCCTCTCAATATAATGCCACAATGCTAGGGTTGCCAAGTCAAATCTTCTTACCGGTGGGGGAGCCTCGCCGTGCTCCAGGAGCTCTCCGCCGATGTGCGCGCGCACGCACGAAGCACGCGTGCACCGCCAGCACATCCCGGAAGTGATGCAGGACGTCGATCACGTTGAGGGCGTGGCCCTGATCGTCAGAGGGAAAACCATAGAGTTTTCCCTCCGACGATCGGGGCCACGCCCCCAACATGATCGACGTGGTTGCATCACCTCCGGTGGCACAGCCACTCTGCGCTTCAGGGGGCGGAGTTCCCCCCGGGGCCCGATTCCGTGGCGGCGGAAATCGGGACTCCAAAGCAGGGGTTTACCCGCCCCCAGCCCCCACTTGGCAGCCCTACACAATGCATTTTTATAAGTAATAGATATAATATTCAAAGGGAACAATTATCCACGTCACAGAGACTCTACTTAGCTAGTAACAATCATTTCCCTTTCTTTTTGTAACTTGAAACTTCCCCAAACCAGTAATAAATTAGCACACATGAGGTTAAAAAAAATCCTCTTTTAATTTGTGAAACTGAGGGCGATGCTGTTGGCACAGAGAAATCTCTGTTCTCATTAAAAATTGATTTTGAAATGTGCGGATAAGTAAAAATGCTAAAACACACACATTTACTTATACCCCCCCCCCGATCACAGTTCCCTTCATAAATTGGCTGGTTGCTTCAAGTGGGGCCCCGCAATACGGAACTTAAATACCGTAGCAAAGCACGGGTAGCAGGCTAATATACAAATATAGCAGTAGGATGCTTTCAGACTACATATAGGTAAGGGTAGATGAGATACATTAAATATACCTTTATGCAAAAAGAACACAGAATAAGACACTTCCCCAGGATTAACAGGAGCCATACAGTGACATAGGCACATGCATCCTAAAGGATAAAATAAGAGCTGTTATATTAACTGGACAGAAATTACAACTATCAAATTGTGTAATACAAGAGTGAGGGTTACTTTCCCCTTCCACTCACAGCCGCAACATAGAGCACACTCACTCTTTCTATCTGTTAGTGGATAAACTACTTTCCTTCACTGATTTAAAAGAGATCAGAGCAGTGCCGAGGCAAGGAAAGCATTGGGAAGAACTGCTATGTGGAATCCCTCAACATTTGCAGCAAGCACAAGAGCTACACAAAGAATCATCCCCATAATAAAAAGTGGTAAAGCTGACTGCACTGAAATGTTCAGAAGAGATAAAACATTAGGAATGCTGTTGGCTACCAATGCTCTTTTGTACTGAGGAGGAGACATTGAGGTGAAATAGATTATGAATAATCATCACATGAATCACATTTATCTATATATGTGCGTTTGTGTGTTATGTAACTGTACCTAAAGCATGACAGTATCTTCAGCTGTAGATGGTAACCCATTTTTTAAAAGCTTTAATACAGTCATTTCTTTTGTATTTTTTATCCTGGGGGTATCTATTTGGGATTTTGTGCATTCCATTTCTCTGCCTGCATTTGTGCTCTGCTGGCCTACACCAAGAATCCCTTGGATTTTATTTATTTTATTTTAGCATATTTATACCCCGCCCTCCCTGCGAACGGGCTCAGGTCGGCTTACAAATTCGGTACAATGTACCTGGTATACATAAAACAATTAAAACATTTTAAACAGTTTAAAAACAGTTAAACAATCATACATTTAAAATGCTCGCAGTACTGTACTGGATCAGGGATTCTTGACAACAACTCATGTGGATCATATGTTAGGTACTTGGCTACTTATACCCAAATTCTAAAGTGTTGTAAGAAGCCGTTCTGAAACTTCAAAGTATTGCATCTAAATTCAAATACACATTAGTAATTAAAACAAAAGGTGTTTTAGTGGTAGGTTTCACAAAAAAACCTGGGGTGTGTGTCCACACACTCGTCAGTTCTGCTATCTGCCACCAGCCCCTTGGACTATTCAGTCAAAAGCTAAGGGGTAAGCTTCTAACCTTACTGGGATTAATCAAGAAAGTCAACCCTGCAAGATAGGCCACTTGCAGAATGAGTTTCCACAACAATTAACCTGGTAAATGGACTCTTAAGGTCGAAGGTACTGGAATAGGACTGAAGCCCTTGAAGTACAGAACACACCAAGTATAATCAAAGGATATTCAGTGAGAACTAAAACAAAGAACCTGCAGTTAAGAGACTAATTATACACAGTATGACATTAATTCAAAGTTACCAGATGTTACCCTTCAGCGTTGAAGTCAGGCAGCATTCCATACCTCTCTGTCCAGAGAGTATTTCGCCAGGCAAGAGACTGGCCCATTCCAAGGGTAGTGCATTATACCTGAGGCTAGCAACGAACAAACAGAAAAACTAACTTTTTAAGGCCTAAGAGCTGAGTGGGCTGGGGCCCAACAGCCCAATCAAAATCAGACCATTGAAGTTATGTTGACATGAACCCATTACAAGCAGATGGCCGAGGAGGGGGTCACTTTATGGCAGGATGGAGGGTTATCCACAATCTAACCCATTGCACCACCAACTGAAAAAAAAAGAGTGTGGTAAAGCAGGGACGCACTGGCACCACAGTCCTGTTCTGGAAAACAAAAGGGTTGTCTCTGTACCTGAATTGTTATCCAAAGGTCACAAGGTCGATTTGCCAACCCTTCAATACCAACAGCCAGTTATTTTTCCATTAGGTCTCTTCAACCCATTTGCTGGGTTAGAGATGAATATGAGGACTGGTGTTTAATGAAAGAACAAGAAATTGACCTAAATTTCTTGACAGTTATAATATGAAATGTTTATTGAAATAGCTGCTGCTCTTAGTAAGAAAGAGGACTGTGCCTTTCCCCATACATACTTCAGTGCAGAAAAGCAGAAATTTAAACACTACTCATAATGGTACATGTTTTGTACTCTGGTATCTGGACCTAGGAGCTGCGGTGGCTCAAGTGGTTAAGACGCTGAACTGCAGGCTGTGGAAGGTCAGTAGTTCAGCAGTCGAGACCTGGGTGCCGCATGATGGAGTGAACTCCCATCTCTAGTTCCAGCTCCTGCCAACCTAGCAGTTTGAAAGCAAGAAACTGCAAGTAGATAAATAGGTACCACTTCGGTGGGAAGGTAACAGCGTTCCGTGTGCCTTGGTGTTTAGTCATGCCAGCCACATGACCACGGAAACGTCTTCGGACAGCGCTGGCTCTTCGGCTTTGAAACGGAGATGAGCACCACAACCCTAGAGTCGGATTCGACTGGCTTTTGAGCAAGGGAACCTTTACCTTTACCTTTTTATCTGGACCTAAGCACAATAATTAAGAGATTTTCACTGTGTGGTGGTTCAAACAGAGAAAGTTGAGCTGCAAATAAAAAGCAAAAAGGTTCCTGGTAAATTGGGTTCATAATGAAATGGAACACACATTAGTCTTAAGCACTGCTTACCCTTTTCACTTGTAAAAACCTGTAGATTCAAAGGCTGAGGTCCTGTCTCTTGCCTTTGATAATAGTCATAGTCCAAGTTCACAAGTCTAAAAAGAGAAACCGCAATTACTTCTTTACCCAGAACAGTGATACCTCTGGGAAAATGAAATACAAGTAAAGGAGAGTCATTATCCAATATCACAGTGAATTACAAATTCAAAGCAGGAATTATGAGGTTGTATTTGGGAAAGCATGGAACAAATAACAATTCCTTTTGGATATTTCTGAATAAAAAAGTGGCCTATCTTTTAAGTCAGAACTGGGCCGGTGAGACACAGAATTAATCTTCAATCACAATGTTTGCCTTGATTTGCCTTTGCATAGCTCTTTGCTAAAGAGTGCAGACCTTGTCAATATTACATAATATACCACTGAAGCAGGAAGTAACACCATTCTGGACTATAACACATACGGTTCACTGTAGCATTTCCCACCAGTAGTTTCTCCTGGCAGGGCATGTTGATAGAAACCATAATCTGATTTCAACTCCTGCTATTCAATTAATGTCCATTCTGAGTACAGTACATGCATCCCTCAATGAGAAGGCAAAGATGAGCTGGCAAGACAACCCCACACCTGATGTGGACCCATTACCCAAGAGTGTTGGACTGGATGGGCCATTGGCCTGATCCAACACTGGCTTCTCTTATGTTCTTATGTAAATCCTAGAACTGTGTCAGAAGCTGGAAAGAAAGGAATAGTATGACCATATAGTAGAGTGGGGCACTGACACATCTCAAAGGAGAGGATTTTCATAGGGTAAATATCAGAATAGTATCAGGGTGTTTAATTAATCCTGGAAACATTCTGGACATAAGGAGAAATGTGTTTGATGCAACGGAGAGTTCCATTCCCTTGGTGAATGTAGCTCTCTGAAAAGACACACACACACAAAAAAAAACTGATGGGGGAATTTCTCATGCCTACAGTCAAACTATGAAAAATATCAAATGTTCAAAGGGATATTTGTCTCTCAGATTCCTTAAATAAAGCGATAAAGAGGACATGTTAGGTCATGTCTAGCTTTCTAAAAACCCATAACAATAATTATCCATTAGGTAAGAACATTTTGCTATTGATTTGGAGCTAGGAAGGGTACATGTAGCAGCAGTTGAAGTAGATATATTGATGCATCTGATTTTACACCATTAAGGGTGAATTCAACTAGACCACCTGTTCCACCAGTGACAGCCAGTATGGTGTAGTTATAGTGTTGGACCAGGAACTGGGAGAACCAGGTTGAATCCCCAGTCTGCTAAGGAAGCTTGCTGGGTGACCTTGGCCCAGTCACACCCTCTCAGCCTAACCTATCTAACAGGGTTGTTGTGAAGATAAAACGGAGGAGAGGAGAATTTATGTAAGCCAGCTTGGGTCCCCACTGGGAAGAGAGCTGGGGTATAAATGAGGTAAATAAATAAAATAAAATCAACCACTCACTTTAATCCTGTGTCAGTCAGGGAAATCTCCAAAGGTACTTCAAGCTATAGAAAACAAAGAGAAACGAACAGTGTTGTGCGTTACTTAGCAGCAGGCAGTGAGTATGTGTTACACTTTAGGGTAGCAGAGCATTTCGATAATTGATCCAGTAGGGGCTATTTAGAACACATTACCCCAAATGCAATCTTCTGTAGTTTACAATATCATTCTTCAACAAAATACATCACGTCAGAAAAAGAAAATAATTACACATCATTATGTTATAATTATTCAGATCATTCATTAAATCATCTTTTCCACAATAAGCTTCAAAATATTACAAAATTAGATTGCTAAATTCCTTCCCTATGCTCGATCCAATAGGCTGACTTCAGTAAAACCAACTACAACTTAATTTTTGAACTTTTATAACCCATTCTTCAAAGCTCAGAGCAGCTGATATCTTAATTAAAACCATTCACAAAATATTTTTCTATTTTAAAAAACCCTCGTCAACAAAAAAATTTCTGCCAAAAGCCGTCACATCAATATCATAGCAAATGATAATATCCATAAGGACTTTACCCAAAGGCCATTTATGAAATCCAAGTCTCACAGGCCTTTTAAAAAAGCAACAGACCTTATCTGGAAGGCCATTTCATGACTGTAGGACTACTGCTAAAAATACCTGCCCACTCCCTGATGTGAACCATATATCCCAGTGAAAGGGGATGCAATTTGATTATTGCTGAATTGAAGGCAGATTTTTTAAATTTCTGTTCCCATGCCATTTGTATCTTTGCTGCTTCACTATCATCCTCTGACACAGTACTCTTCAAGAAGCTCATTCCCTATAATCAAGAATTCCTTGGGCACTCTTTTTTAAATACAGTCATTTTCAAAAGAGATGGGCCACACATCGACCTAAAGTTATGAGGTGTGAAGAAACCATGCAGCACAAATACATGCTTCCAGACATTTGGGGTTTTAAGTAGCAGTGTCAGATTCATTAAACGTTATAGGGTGGATCTAACCATCCTCCAAGGAACCTTCCTCCAACTAAAGTGGTTCTTCTGTTGGATGAAGAACTAATTTAGTTGGGGAAAGCTCTTTGCACTGGGGAAAGGCTTCAAATGTTGCTTAGTGGAGTGGTAGGATCCACCCCAATGACATGATTAGTAATTAAGTTGTAATGCTTACTGCTATTAATACTAATTTCATTAAATAGTGTCTTTTTGATCATTTATGATACCTGTGGACCAACTGAGTTATAGTTGTGTCAAATATGGCCCTCATAAAAATAAGTTCAATTTCAGTAGTCTAAAAGATAGACATCACTCTGAGCAGGATTCAGCCCCAAATCTGCAAATGAATGCACTCCAAACTTTTCACCTAGTATTTAGAACTATATAAGTAAAACCTGGAAAACTTACTATCAATGTAAAGCTTTTATCAGGATAAAACTGGACACAGTTTAATATATCCCTCGATCCCTACAACATAAAGAAGATTATTATACATACAGTCTATACATTCATATCTTTAATGTAGAACTAGATGTTATCTGAGGAAACATGCAGTTCCAACCACAAGAATGCACATGGGGGGCACTCAGCAGAAGGTGTGTTGGCAGGTACAACAGAAGGCACGTAACTGCTTCTGTGCCTACCAGTTGTCTCTGCTGCAAATGACACCCCCCCACACGCACACAAGGATCTGAAACCTGAAGAGAGTCTGACTGAGAAAAAGCAAAACAGGCCAAGAACCACTGCAGAGGGGGTCTGTAGGGGGGGGTTCCAAAATGAGAGGAGTACTCAGTCCTCTCTACCATGTTTCCCCTAAGATTCCCCTATTATTGTTACACAGGTAAACTGAAGGTTAGGAACCCCCACCCCATTTTTCTTGAAACTCTTAGTTCTGATCTCCATGATAAGAGATTTGACCCTTTCTATTCTAAAGCAAGCTAGACAGAGCAAACAGTTACACACAAACACTTTAAAAAAACTTGCCACAGCAGAGCTATGGTACACACTTCCTTCCTGTTTCAGACTGTCTGCTTTCCATCTGCAAAGGCTTCAGGTTTTGCTTACCACAAAACACAGTTCTGTTCATAAGAGGAAGCCTTTTTGTGGGTTTCAAAACTGCGTCCCATCACTTTTTGGCACAGACTATTAAGATACTGTTAACTCCAGTGGACTCCTGCAAACTCAGAGAACTGTATTTATCCAAACGCAAGACTAGTTTCCCCGCCTCCAAGGAATGCCATCAAAAAGGGGGGGGGGTTCATCTTACATTAGCACATATATTACATTAATAAAAATTTGTCATGCATAACATTTTTGGAAGGGGGCTGTCTTACATCCAGGTTCATCTTCCTTACAAGTAAATACAGGAGTTATATGCCTTTTGTTTTCACACTGCTGTCTATTTTGCTCAGGAGCCTGGGGGCTTGCACAAGTTTGTGTCAGCTGGAGTTTAGTGACAGTGATAGCAAAAATCAGAAAAAAAACAGAAAAAAACAAAAGCCACACCAAAACATATCAATTGGCTCTAGCTCTATTGTTTTGAGAAAGAGATGGAACTATGAATCACAGCATCCTGCAGCAGCAGCAAAGACAGAGCCTGCACGCCTGGTTTTGAAGTGTCCTGTACAGCAAAAGAAACTTGCTTCCCTGTGAAGCAAACCCTCTACCAGCCTCTCATTCTTCCTTGAAACCACCAAGATGCTGCTACGGGCTCAGGAGCCTAGAAGATTCTACACGGGCCTTGTCCTCCCCTGCCTGTTCTGCATAGCTTCCTTTGCATGGCGCTAATGAGGCACAGCAAAGCCAAGAAGGAGCTGTGGCTCAGTGGCAGAGCATCCACTCTGCGTGTACAAGGTCCCAGGTTCAATCCCCAGCATCTCTAGACAAAGTGTATCAGGTAGGAGATATGCTGCTCTCAGCCAAAGCAGACAATGTTGATATTGCTCTGTCAATGGTCTGACTCAAGACAAGGCAGCTTCACGTGTTGGAAGGAATTAATACGTCAAGGTTGTTTTCTGGCCAGGGATGGAAAGAAACTAAATTGTGGAATAGTAGCCAATTCCTAGTGTGCATATTCAGGATCATTTCACATAGATTACTTGTCCCACAGCTATTCAGTGATCCTGGAACATACACTCTTAACACTCTTAACGTATATTGGTGGACCAGAGAGATTTTGATTTAAACACACCAAAACACTAAATTATACAGTACAAAACTAACCATGCACTTAGGGCAGCAAATAATTAGATATTTTTCTGGAGTCTTATTCCCTTTTCCTACTGAAAGAGGCTGTTTTTATAAGCTTCCTTCAAACTTTACTAATGGGAGGGTTCACTTATGGGAGGGTTCAGGTCTACAATTCCAAATATCTGGAATATGCAGTTCAATAACACAGAAAAACTATTTCTGCAGTTCAATAATACAGAACAACTAGTGTCCACGAACACAATCTGGAAGTAGATGCATTGGTCCAAAGCAGAACCCATTGACAAAAGCTATGCAATACCTCCTCATTAGAACCAACCACAAAAGTACAACACAGAAGACAAGCTTTCAAGCTCTCCACAGTTCTTCATCTGGTAGGATGTTAACATACTCAGGGGTTGTGAGGGGAGGGAGATGTTTCAAGCCCCTGATCTTTTTTTAATGAATTTTAAAATTTGACAAACAAAATATATATATACCATATACTACTACAATTATACATACAACATAGACAATCATCTCTCCTTATTATAAAAGAGTTTTGGTGTCTCTCCTGCACACACTCCTGCAGCCTTTCGCTCTTGCACCTGCCAGCCTGAAGGATCCCCTGGCTGCATTGGCTAGCTCTGTCCTGCCCACAGAGGCGCCGAGCCAGCCGGCGGTGTCTCTGGCTCACTGTGCTCTGGGCCAGCCGAGAGGACAGCCGCTCTGGCGGATGGAGAGTGAGCAGGCCCACTAGGAGAGGCAGAGAAGAGGCGCAAGAGCCCACACACGTTCCAAAATGCCACGGTCAAGGCGGGGGCAGGGTGGCAACTGCTGCTTGCAGCAAGAGGCCGCCCCTCTGCCGGCAGCCCTGTCGTCGTCTGGCCCAGCTGAGGCGGTTCTCACGCTGCTCCGCGCTGCACCCCGCCGCCACCACACTGAGAGGCCTCCCTGATGGGGGCCCGCCGCCGCACCAAGACCCTCCTCCTCTCTGACCCCAGCAGCAGGAGCTGGAACGCAGGTGCCGGCAGAGCAGATGTGCTCTACCTGCCACTGCGCCCGACAGATGAGGCTGCCGCTGCCCCTTCTTCGCCTGAGGGGTGGGCTGGCCACTGGCAGCCCAGCTAGAGCTCATTGCATTTGTCTCCGCAACGGGCCTTCTTCCTAGTCTTACATAAGCATAAACATAGACATGAACATGTACAATCATATATGATCATATACAAATGTATACTGCCTGACTCTCTCTCTTAATCATTCTGCGCTTTAGCAATTTGGTCCTAATTTTCAGCTATATAATTAAAGAATATGTTCCATTTTTCATGGAATTCTGAAATCGGTCTATTATGTAAATAAGATGTTAGTTTTGCCATTGTCACATACTCAGTTAATTTATTCTTCCATTCTGTCAGTTCTGGACATTTTTCTGCCTTCCATTTAGTTACGAATGTCACCCTTGCCACCGTTATCATATATTTGAATAAATTCACTGTGTATTCATGTTATAATACTTGGTAAAATGTTTAATGGCATGTTTTTAGGGTCCCTCACAAACTTAAGTTTTACGATCTTTTGTATTTCTTCATGGATCTTTATCCAATATTTTCTTGCTTTCTTACATGTTCACATATGATAAAATGTTGCATCTGTGCTTTGACATTTCCAAAAATTCCCATTATAACTCTTGTTAGTTTTTGCAGTTTCTTTGGGTGCACCATTTCTCCCTTAATATTTGAGATTCATAAAATTCTGAATTCTGTTTCATACTGCAATAGCATTTTATAGATTTTTCTTAATAAATGTTTCAAGTCTCCTGTAACTAATGGTTCATAAGCCATTCTCTCTCTTAAGTGATCCCCTTCTTTTGCTATTTCTTCTTTATATTTAGATACTATTTGATAATATATCAGTCACTAGATGTTCGTTGATTCTGAAATTCTTGCCAGGATTTAATTTTTCCTTCTCATCATATTATCATAGGTTATGTGATCAGTTTCCCCCCCCTGGTGCTGCTGTCACAATAAGCATCAATTGGAGATGTCAATGGCAAAGTGGGCAGACTTATTCCATTTTTACACTGAAACCATATTCTTAATAATCTTTTCCTCAGGATATGGCTGCCATCTCAACTTTGAATAGTTTTTAATTACTTCTTAATCGAAAAATAGTTGTGGATTCCTTCTTTTGTATCACCTATTTCCAGTTTGATATTCCTCCCGTTTAGATTTATAATCCAACCTGAAACCCAAACCAATGCAGCTGTTTAGCGGTATAATTTAATATTTGGTACCGCCAAGCCTCCTCTCTTTTTTTCATCCCATAATAATTTGAATCTTATTCTTGGTTTCTTTCCATTTCCTATAAAGTTTTGTTTATCACTTTCTGCCATTAAAAAAAAAAACACTTTCATCTATATCAATTGGTAGCATTTGGAACAAAAAGGTCAGCTTTGGTAATATGTTCATCTTAATGGCAGAAATTCTGCCTAGCCATGAAATTTTCAATTTTCCCCATCTTTGCAGGTCTTCAGTGATACTTGTCCAGGCTTTTTGATAGTTAATAGTTGTCTTTATGTAAGCTTTTGCTTTGTCCTGTTACATAAATACCCAAATATTTTATTGGGGGTTTTTTCTGTTAATTTCTGTATTTCTTATTATTATTCATTAGTTGTCTCTAGTAACTATTTTGGTCTTCTTTTTATTCAATTTCTATCCAGAATGGTAGTTATTTGTTCCACTATATATTTCAAAGAAATACTTGGTTTCATTACTATTATGACAACATGATTTGCGTAGCTTTTCATCTTATATTATCTTCTTTTATTCCAATAATCCTATTATCTTGTCTGATTTTATTGGCCAATATTTCCATTGCCAGAATAAATAATAATGTTGATATCAAATAATCGTGTCCAGTTCCCTTTGTTTAATGATAAAGAACTGTTTACTAAAATTCTGGCATGCTGACTGGTATAAATATTTTACATTCAATTTGAAAATCAATCCCCTAATCTTAAAGCCTCCTCCTGTGTAGAATGTAGATAGTGGTGCTAGGTGAAGCTGGTATCATATTGCACATCTGGTCTTCTGGGAATGAGGAGGGAAAATGGCAGCCTTCCAATTAAAAACTAGGAAAACACATCCAGTCATTATAGTAAAAAAATCTGGAGATTAATGTTAGTTGATGTACTAGCTAAAGACTCAACAGATAACCAAACTGAGTAATGTTGCCTAGGCAGTATTAGTACAAAAAGCTCACAGAGTCCCTTCCAAGGTAATCTTCCTAAGGCTTATTAATTCCCAGAAGACCGAAAGGTACACTTTCCCCCTGTTGGTCTTCTGGGAATTGACAAAAGGTGCAACCTACTATTTTTTATGTAATTATTTATTAAATTAGATTTTTAGGCCGCCCTTCCCCGCAAGCAGGGTACAGGGCAGCTAACAACAGAAAAGGTATACAATAAATAATTGAAAGTTAAAAACAAACAATAATGCACAATACATACTACATCAATAATATGATTAAATCATTCCAGGTGATTGAATCATTCCAGAATGGTAAGAATTTCAGTTTAAACCACCACAACATCCAGTCTGATGAAGAGTTCTGGACAATATGAACATTCGTGCACTGTTTTGTGATACCCTGGTTGGTCCTAATAAAAGGTTTTGCACTTAGTAAACTCATTATTTTCCCATGCACTTAAAGTTAGAGCAGAGCTTTCAGAACAGGAGATATGAAAAGCCTAACGCTGATAAGCTTTAAAAAAGCCCCACAAATACATACTACTTCTTGTCTCTTATTAATTAATACATTGCAACTGGTTTAAGTTCAAAGTTTTGTATGAAAACAAAATGTGATTAAGGAAATATTTAATATTTTCAACCTTTGGGACAATGTAGAATAGTCTTTGCTCCAGTGTATCCCACTGGATCCAAATGAAATCATCAGCAATTTTCTCTTTTAGAAGGTGACTGGAATTTTCAATCACCTAAAAAAGAAAAAGGAAAAGAAATGCTAATTAGAAAGGGGGGAATATCAAATAACCTGGGATCTGATCAGAAGATACTGCACTTGTATAGGTTTTGAGGAGTAAGGCCGGAAGTGGGTTGTATGTAGCCCTTCACAATTAAACTAGAGAATCCCACCTGTCTAGAGCTTAGTTAGCAGTGTAGCATGTCATGTATGCATAGTTATAGTTTTAGTGCTTCATTAGGGGAGTGTGCTGCCCCAGCAGAGTTTAGTAAACTGTATGTAATAGCAGTCAGTAAATAGTTGTGTATCTTTAAGTCCCTATGCATGCTGGGAACTGTAGTCGCAAGTCAGGTGCTCCAAAACAGCCTCCTTATTGGCTCACAAAAGAGTCATTTCCTGTAGCTCAGAGGTGTGAAAATAGGGTTTACTGTCCTTTTCCTGTCTTTGTTCAACCTCTTTACTGGCAAAGGAGATGCACCAAAGCAATTACTTTCCACCGCAAGATCCAAGAAATAGACTATGCCCTCAAGCAAGATAAATCGTATTATCCTACTGAAGGAACTGCCTACTGAAGGAACGTGAGTTCTAACCCCTGAACCTATTCTGCAGTAGAATAAAAATCAGTTTTCTATGAGTTTACTTTCTTAGACTGTGAGTTGGCACTGTCTGGTAAAATATCTTTTCTAGTCTACAGCCCAGGCCCCAGAATAGTGGAAAGGTATTGCTTTGATGCATCTACTTTGCCAGTAAAGAGGTTGAACAAAGACAGGAAAAGGACAGTAAACCCTATTTTCATGCCTCTGAGCTACAAGAAATTATTCTTTTATGAGCCAATAAGGAGGCTGCTTTGGAGCACCTGACTTGGGACTACAGTTCCCAGCATGCATAGGGACTTAAAGATACACAACTATTTATTCACTGCTATTACATACAGTTTACTAAACTCTGTTAGGAGCAGCACACCACCAGTAGTTTTATAAAAGTGCCAATATGGTGGACCAGGGTCTCCCACTCCCCCAAATGAACCATCAGTAACTTCCAGAGACAATCTCTCTACAGATCTCACTAAGCTGCTGGTTACTATGAACCAAGCTTTAGAGCTCTGAGCTTAGATCAATTTAGCAGAGGCAAATCTATATTATATTCTATCAGCCACATCACCAATAAAGTTTCTATAAAATGCAGCTGGATGAAATAAGATTCATAGAAAATAACTAATGCAAAAAAAGAGAAAGAAATCAAAGCTAAGCCTTTATCTCCACTTCACCCAGATCATTGGCCCTGAACAAATGCATTAATGAAACTTTTCAAAATTTCTTACTGCTGCGTGTCCTTCTTTGACAACTCTGATGTCAAATTTTTCAACATCTGTAAAATAGAAAAACAAATTTGGTGTCTTTTCTTAAGAATTCTCTCACTCACAAACTCACATCATTCAAAACTTGTTTCACTTCTGAGGAGCTTCCGGTACGGCGAGGCAACGTGGCGGCATTTCAGGATGCTCCCAAGCGCCCGATCCTCGTTTGCTCTTTTTGGAGCCCCCCCGGTTTTGGGTGGACTCCGCTCGACTCCCTGGAGGGGGAACGAGTAGCAAGGGGCTTATCTCGGTCACCTTCGCATATGGCATATGCGGGGGGGTGACCGTTATTGCCCCGAAGCTGGAGCGACGGATGGAGCAAAGCAAAGCCATGCTTTGCCTAGCCACAACCTTCCGTTTTAACTTGGATTTACAATATATACAGTAACATAGAGAAAGAAATGTCATGAGTACGCGTACTTCTAATTCTAAAATAGAGAAGACCGGTGGCAAAATTACCCCGAACATGTTTGCTCAAAACGGAGTTGAATAGTGGCCAGAGGACGAATGGGATCTGACAGAGTATCGTGGTGTGTCTGCTTTTTCGGGGAAATTTTTGTTTTTCTTTCTGGTAAGGATTTATAATGGATAGAAGAAATGTGGTTGATAACTTGGATGACCATTAGAATGTGAATAAATTAGACTGAATTGAGTAGCAAAAATGGCATCTACAGAGCGAAAGGAGGAGGAAATTGACGAGAACATGGAGGTAGGAGAACTGACTGTTGAACAATTTCTGAGAATCTTGAGGGAAGAAATACAGAAGGGTTTTAAGAAAGTTTGCGTAAAAATATTGGAAAAACCACATAACTTACAGCCAGAAATAGAGAATGAGAAAGAGCAGGGACAATGCACTCAGAGTGTTGTGGAGAATCTGGGTTGTTATCAAGAGAAGGTGTGCGTTGAGACCCAGCCCCCGCCCATTAAAAGAGTGGAAAAGAAACCAATAAGGCTGTTTTACTTGAAGAAAGAGTTATTAAAAAGGAATGTTCAAAGATACTCCTCTAAAGAAGAAAGAAACTTGGAAAAAAGAGAACAAAACGCCATGCATGGAAATTTAAAATGGATAATAGAAGACTGGAGTCAGAGTTGTTGAAAGTTAGAGGGGGGAGATCAGAAGTAGCATTTCATACACATAAAGAGAGAAGACATGTTGATATGCTGGTACAAAAAAACAAGCTACAGATACATAGGAAAAAAATTAAGCTATATGAAGGGGTGTGAAATGTTTGTCTTTTCTGATATATGTCTAGCTGGAAAAATGACTCCAAATATAGAAAATAAGTCTTTGAAATATAGACCAGGCAAGAAAGAAAAATTTTCCTTATGGATATATGTCTAATAGGGAATAACTGGAAGTAACTAGTAGGATATGGTATTATAATGTTGAAAGTTATGAGAATCATGCCTAAAGAGAACAATGTTAAATCTTGAACTAAGATTGGTAAAAAAAAAAATTGAATAGAATGTGTAATTTAAAACTTAAAGGTGGTGGTATTAGAATGGGTGTTTAGTTGTGATGAGTTATACCTTTATTGCTAAGTTGTAAAAGGGGGGGGGAGTTATAGATTTATAGGAAAAAATAAGATAAATGAGATGGTTGGAATTTAAATGTAAAAAAACCTAAGTTTATTCTAGTTATAATGGGGCATTGACAAATGAAGTGGGAAAAAATAATATTTAGAAGTAAGAAATGTATAGATTGATGGAGTGAATAGTAATGAAAATAGTAAATAGTAACAAACTAGGAGTAACAGTTTGAAAAGTTTGAAAAGTTATGAGAACCTTGCCTTGAGGGAATGATGTAGATCGGTGACTTGTAAAATTAATTGGTAAAATCTACTTGAACAACTTGTAAAATCAATATGAACAAAATGTGTACTTAAACAATCTGTGTAATTAATTTTAAAAGGTGGCTCTAATAGAAGTACATGCTCAGCTGTGAAATGTCCTAATTATTAAGGAGTAGGAAAAGCATAATTTTTCTTTTTTGCTGCTTGACTATGTTGTTGTGTTACCATACAGAAAATATTTCCAATTCATGTGTGTTTGTGTTTTTGTTTGTGTTCATGTCTATGTTGATGGGGTATGTGTTTACTATGCTTAAAAACCTAATAAATATATGATTTTAAAAAAAGAAAGTTAAAAAGACTTGTTTCACTTCTAAGCAATTAGCACTTCATTTTCAAATACCTGAACCATCATATTTGCATTCAAGATTGGCATGAAATGGTACAAGGTGAGCATAACAGCAAGTTTTGCAAAACTGCAGTTGTGCAGATAGGATGCTGCATTACAAGGCCTCATGTGCTGGAGATGACAGGCTTGGATGGGAGTGCCAAATGTTCAGGATTGCACTCCAAGTAATATTTTGTATACAGTTAATTTGGCAAAAGCCATTTATGATGAGGCAAAGGACTAATGAGAAATGTCATGCATATATACCTTTAAGAGTACAAAGCTTGTGAGCAGAGACTTTTCCCTTCTGTTCCTGCAGAATTAGTTTGACTAGGGCTTTTTAGGTGCTTGATAAAAATTACAGAAAGGCTTGCACATGCCAAAAAGGAAGTCCTCCATTCCCCGTTCCCAACCAAACTAGCCGCATCCAGAACCACCATATCAAACTTTGCTGAGTTTTAAACAGTTGACTATCTACACAATTCTTGCATGTTTGACTGGAACTGGCAACTGTCTTATACTCAGTGATTTATATGTCTGCAGGATCATCACACCATACAGGTGGTGATGACTCTGTAAAACTCCAGGCAGAAGATTGTATAAGAACTATATATTATCATCAAGAAGCTCTGAATTCCAGATGGGACAGGAAATGCATATGAGCCTCCCCCATTTCTAATATTCTAGAAAGTATTAGAAGTCAGCTTGTGAAGCATGCCATTAAAATGTAATTTAAAAAAAATACACTTACATTTATCTTCTGAAATGAGTAAGAGACAACTCTCTGGAAAAGCATGTGCTTCTGCAACTGGATATAGAAACTGTAAAAGGGAATTCTTCAGAGATAATGGGTACGATAAAGCTTTGCTGATTAAGCTCAGCTGTATAACATTTAACTATATAAGTCTAACAGACAGAATAACAATGCTGTTTTAAATGGAACGTAAGTTCCTTGTTATATAGTTAAAAGAAGTAGCCTAATGCCAAAATCAAAACAGACAAAATTTTCAAATATAACAGCAAAGCACTTTGGAACAAAACCTGAACAACTGTAACTAATAGGAATGGGCACAAACCTGCTGACAAACCAAAGTTAGTCATAAATTTTGGCCAGTTCAGAGTTCGTGAACCGAAGTTCATGACATGATGAACCACAATGAACTTCCCTGAAATTTGGGGACACTTTGTGATCCTGCGTTCTGTTCTTTACAAGAAACAGTTGAGTGGCTGGGAGCTCCCCGCCACTCAGCTGTTTAATTTAAATGGCTCAGAGCTATTAAAACCTGCTTTGAGCTCCCCATGGCTTTTTGCGGGGAGCAGAAAGCGGGGTTTAAAAGGCTCAGAGCCATTTAAACCAACAGCTGAGCTGGGGGAGAGAACTTTCCCTGCCATCTCAGCTATGGGCTCCCTCGTGCAGCCTGGTTTAAAGGGGCTGCAGTAAGGAGCCCAAGACAGCACAGCCAGTGTGGAGAGGTCTCCCCACCAGCCCAGCTGCAGGCTCCCTGGTACAGAGAGATCTCCCCACCGGATCAGCTGTCATGGGCTCCATCCCGCAACCCCTTTAAACCCAGGTGCTGAGGGATCCCGGAAAGGAGACAGCAGGGAGACTTCTCTCCGCCAGCTCAGCTGTCTTGGACTCCGTCCTTCAGGCCCTTTAAACCGGGCTGCACATGGGAGTCTGCTTAAAGGGGCTACACCAGGGAGCCAGAGGCAGCTGAGCCAGTGCAGAGAGCCTTCTCCACATGGGCCCAGATATCTTGGGCTCGTTCATGCAGCCCATTTAAAGGGGCTATGCAAGGGAATTGGCTCAGCTGCCTCAGGCTCCCTGGTATAGCTCCTATGAATGGGCTGTGCAAGCAAGTCCAAGACAGCTGGGCCCACACACAGAAGGCTTTTCCTGCCAGCGAGGAGATCCACTTTCTCTCGGGATATCCGCCCTCCCCCACTTTCTCCTGGCTGCCACTTGCCATGGCCAGGAGAAAGGTGGTAGGGAGTGGAAGGGAGACCCCCCACTTTCTCCCAGGAGATTCCCCCCTTTCTACTAGCTTTGTGTACAGGAGAAAAGAAGATGGGAAGCCTCTTCCCCGGCGATCCCATCTCCCTTTCTCCTGGCCCTTCCCTCCCCTTCTATTGGCCGCTGTTCTTTGGACTGTCTTCTTCAGTCCGTTTAAAGTCTAAAGGGACTGCAGAAGACAACCTGAAAGCTGTGCAGCAGGGAGCATCTCCCTGCTGTGCAGCTGTTTTTTGCACTGTTTTGCAATCCCTTTAAACTTTAAAGGGACTGCATGACATAGCTCGAAACAGCTGAGTGGCAGGGCACAGGCTGCTCCCTGCTGCTCAGCTGTTTTGGGGCTTTCTGTAAACCCCGTTTAAAAGGACTGTGGGCCCCAACCTGCACAAACTGGTTTGTTTCATAAGCAGGCCTCCCAGCTTGGTTCATTCTGAGCCATGAACCAAACCCGAAACCAAACCGCATTTTCCCAGTTTGTGCCCATCCCTAGTAACTAAACCCCTTATCATTTTTCCTTACTAAATTTAGATCAATTGGCTTGCTTACTTGCACTCTGATGCGGCTATCCACAGCCTTTAAAACTTTCACGTCATTAACTGGGCAAATTTCAATGAGCAACGTCAGACATTTCGACACTGTGATTTAAAAAAAAAGCATAATTAAGGCAGTAATAGTCTTACTGCATGTTATGTCCAACAATGCTCAACAAGAGAATCTTGATATTTTAAGTACCTGGTTGAAATAGCAGATCCGTTCTTGCTTCTTCTGTTGACTGAAGAAAACTGACAGCTAATGTTAAAAAAACCACATATTTAAATTTGCTGTGATAGGTATTAAACCCCTGACCTGGATAGCCCAGGCTAGCATGATCTCGTCAGATCTCAGAAGCTAAGAAGGACTGGCTCTGGTTAGTATTGGAACAGGAGACCACCAAGGAAGTTCAATGTCCCAACACAGAGGCAAGCAATGGCAAACCACCTCTGAACATCTCTTGCCTTAAAAACCCTACAGGGTCGCCATAAGTCCTCTGCGACATGACAACATTTACCAGGGTCCAAGCATTAAATCACACAAATCTTACTGAAGGGGGGGTGAACAATACAGGGCAGTATTTAGAAATCTGAGATAGTCCATTCATGTTTTAAAGAACACAGTGTATGTCTCCAAAATAGTAACTACACTGACAGTTACAGGAAAAAGAAGTGAGCACAAGCAAAGCCCCAAAGTCCTCATAATTATACAAGAGAACTTTTAATGGGAAAGGAAACGGAGCTTACCAAGTAATGTCTTTTCATTGTTGACCGAACAGCTGATCACATGCAGATCTTTTTCAAAAGTATATAGGTGCTGTTGAAAGATACCTTAGGTTAAAACACACATTATGTAATGCTTAAAAACAGTAGCATTTCAAAAGATTAAAAACACAGCCCTTCACTTTCATTCTTTCCCTTTGTCTTATGTAGACACTTCAACCTCCACAAAGCCAGATAAATTTGGAGTGCTAAACCAATCCTCCTTTCAGACTAGCATCCATATCCATTCACACAGAATCAAGCTCTTCTTTGCTACAACAGCAGAAACAACACAGCTCGCTAACCCAGCACACTAGACCAACTAAGACCTCCACAGATTATCTGTCCCTTGCTTCTTATTTAGATTATTTATTTAATTATTCAATTCATGTTGATCCCCTAATGATATACTATTTATGGTGATAAAACCCAACTTTTTCTATTCTCATCTTTGTCACACCCAAGACAGGATCAATGTACACAAATAGCTGGATGAAGGCAAGACAATCTCTATCATTACACATGCAGGAAAATGTGGTAAAATGGATTTCACCATCTGCAGATATTGGATTCTAGCTTTGAATGTTCCTTTGCATTAAAAAAACTTCATGTGAACAGAAAATCAGCATGGCAGGGAGAAAATTTCTACTCTTTGCTTGCTGTGCTATCTATATCAATTGAAGGAGTTTTTAACATAGGAGAGGATTTCCACATGTAGCCTGTTGTAGTACTGTCCAGTCCACCCCTCAGACGTTTGCCTGTGAAACTGTAAACAGAATTTACTTTCCTTCTTACTGTTTTTATAAACTATGTCATAAACAGCAAACCCTCATCCTGCCAGAGGAGAATCTAAAATCAGTTATCATGTAAGTTAACAACGGCTGCTAAAATTTTCTCCACACAGAGAATAGTTTGTTTGTCATTGAGTAGCCAGGATGATTTCACTTCTGGAGAAAGAGAGTTCTGATTAAATAAGGGGGAGATCAATTCAGCTTAGTTCTGAGAATTTAGGACAATCAAAGAAGATGTGATCTGCAGAGTCAATTTTGTTTGCTGCCACAGTTGCAGAGTCTAGCTGAAAATGGAATTTCACTGAATCTTCCTAATGTCACTGCTGAAGGTAGGGCATTCAGGCACGCTAGCATAAAAGCCCTTCTATGCTTCGGAATGTAGGGCTGCGGTGGCTTAGAGGTTAAGACACTGAGCTGCAGACCAGAAGATCTGTAGCTCAGCAGTTCAAGACCCAAGTGCCATATGACGGAGTGAGCTCCCATCTCTGGCCCCAGCTCCTGCCAACCTAGCAGTTCGAAAGCAAGAAATTGCAAGTAGATAAATAGGTACCACTTCAGTGGGAAGGTAACAGCATTCCATGTGCCTCATTGTTTAGTCATGCCAGCCACATGACCATGGAAATGTCTTCACACAGCGCTGGCTCTTCGGCTTGGAAACGGAGATGAGCACTGCTCCCTAGAGTCAGATTTTACTATCTTTCGAGCAAGGGAAACCTTCACCTATGCTTTTGAATAGTTAACTCAGACAGATCATTTGGCATTTTTGTGGGAGGAAGAATGCCAACTGGAAGGATGAACACACTCTGCGGGCTCTGATCAGCGTGCTCTTATAATCAAAGTCTCTAAGATATCCTCTGGTGAGCTGAGTCAATTTATGTGAGACTGTGACAGCTGGCAGATCATTCAAGCTATCAAAGAGCATTTTTACGGCCAAACAGGTTCATATTCTCCTGGCCTGAGGACCAGGTCCAAGGACAATTTTGACCACAATTTTGCTTCTGGAATGCTGGACTGGCAGCAGTGTCCAAGGAGGTTTTTCAAAGTTACATCTGGTTTGCCAACTGAATCCTCTTTGGAAGAGATAGCTGCATAGTAATTCCTCCGATAGACTACTGCATTAGTCTCCAGGGGCATCAAGCATATGGCCCGGGGGCAGGAACTGGCCCATCCAGGGCTCTTATCTGGCCTGCGAGCAACTGGTGCAAGAGAAGGAAGGCAGGAGGTTGCTTGGTGGGGGGCAAACGGGTGCATGCGGTGAGGTCTGCCTGGTCAAAGCGGTCAAGAAACAGTAAGGAAATGGCTAGGGGGCAGGACTATGAGGCTGAGGTAAAACAGTGTGGGGAAAATGGCAGCAAAGGCAGAGGAAGAGGAGGCACGGGGGAAAGGGGTGCTGCTATTGCTACTGCACATCTTGAACAGCCACAGAGCCTAGAGGCAGAGTGAGTGTCGGGGGGGGATGACTATCTCCCTTCTCCTCCACACCTGTTTTCAGCCCATGAAGGAAAAGGGGTGGCAGGAGGACAAAAGGCACCCCTTAGAGGTTCTGGAAACAGCCTCTCCATCAGGCCTTCCCCTCAACCCTGCCACTTCTATGGGAAATGCAGGAGGGATCCTCAGAGATAGGATGGAGGAAGAGAGGAAACAAAGAGCAAGAGATGGATCGTAGCCATGCTCAGCTGCTGAGGCAGGGTGTGGGGGGGTACTGAAAAACCACCTTATTTACTTGCAAGGAAGAGGACTTGTCTCCTAAATGTGCTATATATACAAAAAGTAACATATGTATGGAAAGGTAGGATTCCCCCCCGCTTTATGGTATCCCTTGGGAAAAACCTAGTCTTGCATATGATTAAATATTTATTGGCGCGTTTGTCGATTCCCCAGTAAATCAATGGCTTTCACTCCTAGGAATGAATTGCTTTTGTTTGTATTTTGAGTGAAAAATAGTATTGTTAATTGGGTTTGCTTGTGTCATTTACAAAGGGTATATCTCCAGTACCTGGCATTACATTTGACGGCATGCATGGCAACCTGACAAAGTAACACTTAGATCTGCCCTTGTAACAAATGAGTTTGACACCTCTGGTCTACACAAACCTACCACAGAAGTGGGTTCAAAAGCTTGTAGCTCATTCAGAACACAGCATTCGGTGACTTATGGAAGCAGGAGAGAATGTAACACCGGTGCTTGTAATGCAAGGTGCTACCCTAACACAGCTTATGCAAAAAATACCTCAAAGAATCACCATCTCTCCCATACAAAGTCCTTCATATCACTTAAGATCCTTAGGGAAGAACAGCTTCCGAAACTTTGTTCTGTGAGTGCTGGGAACAGGGCTTCCACCTACTAACATGGTGGCATTACTAGAGCAAAACCTGGAAAAACTGATAGGCCATTTAGGAGGAGGAGGAGGAGATTGGGTTTATACCCCGCCCTTCACTACCCAAAGGAGTCTCAGAGCGGCTTACATTCCCTTCCCCTCCACACAACAGACACTTTGTGAGGTAGGTGGGGCTGAGAGAGCTCTTTGAGAACTGCCCTTGAGATAACAGTTCTGAAAGAACTTATGACTGACCCAAGGTCACACCAGCAGCTGCATGTGGAGGAGTGGGGAATCAAACCCGGTTCTCCCAGATTAGAGTCCACATTCCTAACCACTACACCAAAGTGGTGTAGCCAGTTTTAGCCAAATTTAGACAGATGAAAATCTTAAACATTAAAAAGCTTGGCTTGGGAAACAGTGAAGACTCTCTACCCTCTACTCAACATACATGCCCTTTAGTCATACCTCATTTGTTTTGCTGTTGGGATCATACAATCCAATACTGGTGTGCCCCCAAATACCCTGCAAAGGAAACTAGTTGAATAAATACAAATGATACAAAACTTTTGAACACTTAACTCTCTCCCTCTCTCTCTCCCCCTCTCCCCCTCTCTCTCTCTATATACACCATCCCTAATGTACCTTTTCTAGGCTTGACAATATTTTTCTACACTGTGCCTTTAGCAGCCCCTCGACACTCACATGGAATGCCAGTCTGAGTCAGGTGCCCAATCATTCTCCTTCCCATTTCATCCATTAATTTTTGACCCCAGTGAGGTTTAAAGCCTTGGAGGCATGTACAGTTCAGAGCACATCTCCTCACGTATGTGTTTCCCTATTTCCTGAGACAACAGGGGAGACTTTACTATGAATCCTGCCTTTTTCTAAAGTGAAGATTCAGGGCTGTGCCCTTTCCATTGTGGCACTTATGCATAGGTATGCCTTGCCCAGTGAAGCATGAAGTGCCTATTTGTGTGACCTTCATTGTCCTGTCAAAAACTTACCATTCCAAAAGACATTTCCAGCTGGATGGATGACTAACAGATACCTATGCTTCTTGATTCAAGTCTTTTTTTAAAAAAATCTAGTTGAGTTTTCTTAGTAGTTTTTATGGTGCATCGTATGCTATATCAAGTGCCTTTTGATTGGGGGGGAATGTGATCTATATACGTAAATAACCTTAGCAAGAAATAAACTCAGCTAAATGTTTGGTTGGATGACAGTTCATCTAGTATTTGCACAGATCAATACGTTGAAATATTTTGACAATAGAAGGCAGGTAATTCAGCTGAATATACTTAGAATTCAGATACCAAAATATGCTAAATTACATAGGCAGGCAGTATCTGAAAATCAATGTTTTGTAAACTACTGGCTATCAAAGAAATAAAACTCTTAAGTTTTAATTAAAAGAGATCTCCGATCTTCAATCCAAAATTTAAATGGTTGGATTAATAAAGGGATACACATACTTCTTTGATATAATTCCCAGGCTGCAATCCAATATTCTACTAAATTCCCTTCACAGTAAGCATGCACAGCATCATGACTACAGTCTCTAAAGTAAAAAACAAAACTATTAGACTTACCTTCAAGGTATAAATAATATTTCCATTTCTTTCAACGTTTACTATGTGTAGTGTCTCTAAACTCTCCAAAAGGTTGTCTGAAACAATAAGCATTAATATATAATAAATGACTTCGGGCTAATGTAAACAGCAAATATAGTTTTAAGAGAGTCTGAAATAAAAAGTACATCAATAGACTACAGGGTCATAGTAACTGTCATTTTTAACTGCTGATTAAGTGGCAAATATTAAGAGGGAAGTTCACCCGATGTGAATGGGAAAACGGTTTAGAATTCCAGTCTCACAGTAAGTCATAAAATCATGCTTTTGACTCCTGGGACAGCAACACACACGATTAAATTGCAATCCTCAGCAACAAGTTTTAAAACGGGATGGTTGTGTCCTAAGGACTAAGACTGTCCCCTCTTTCTGCTGTTCTTCTAACAGAACAGCTTCAGCTGCTCTGGAGACCGGCTGCAGGGCCTCACCCTTTGGAAGAAGGAGGGCAGAGAGCTTTGCCTCTGCATGTTCATGGGAGATGGTGGAATGGAACAGCCCATTCCACACTTGGAAAAACTGTCTTGTACTTACATGTGACCATTCAGAATAATCTAATGTCAGTTTGCTTGTTAGTTATGTCAAACAGCAAGACCAGTGTGACCAAGAGTAAGGCAACGAGGCTGTGTAGGCACTCCGCCAAGGGATTTAATGCTTCCTGCTTCTCTAGACAACTTAATCAGTAGAAGGGAGTATAAATGCTGTGTAGCCCTAAACTGCTCTAAAATAGAAACGTTATTAACAATGTTATCAAATGTCTAAAAGACAATAAATACAACAATCAATGTACAACACATGCAACAAAAATCATAAATGAAACAACCCAGCTCATAACACTGAAGGAGCCATATAGTACAAATCAATGTACAAACAATTATAGAGACATTGTAAACGTCCTCATCAACAATGTGGCTCCAGACTCTATACAGCCGTGGAATCAATAATACACATTAGTCATGAGACAAGGATTCTGGATGCGACCTTGTTTCGAAATCTTTTTCAATCATGTCTGTTGTGTCAGTCAATATATCATGTCACAAAAAGGACAATTTCACATGATTATCATGGACCCAAAGGATTCACAGTCTGGTGAACCCTATCCACAGTCTGGTGAACCCTTTCCACATAAACGGGCTCCCAACTAGATAATATTAACAAAGGTGATAACTCAAATGTAACTGCTGTAGTTGGAGAATGCCTCTTTGACTTTAATTAGCATCTATTTGCTACATATTTGGAGTCTTAATAGAACAATGCATTCTATAATTCTCTGACCACATTTCTGACATGAGACAGAGGAAGTGGGAGTAAGGGACATGCTGAAGCACAGGAAAATATGGTACATATGACAGGCTGTCTGGAGGAAGTCAAATGTGCAGAAGAATTCCTGCTCTCATTTCATTTCTAGCATTCTAAGGCTACCTTATGTTTCACTGAAGTTGTTACAAGAACAGTAAACCCAGCACAGATTTCAAGGAAGTAAAACAACATTATGTAACCCTTGATCATTCAAAACTTTCATGTCTGATATGGAGGGAAAGGAGTTTGTAAGCTGCTCTGAGACTCCTTTGGATAGTGAAAGGCAGGGTATAAATCCAATCTCTTCTTCTCTTCTTCTTCCAGATGAGCACCTCCCCATAAACCCCAAACAGTGACCCCAAACTGCCTAAGAAGTTGCTTCTCAAAAATAAGCAGGAAGTGTCATGCCGCAATACAATTTCCTACACCAAAGTGACCCCGCAGCAGCTCCTTAGTTACACCTTAAGAGCCGGAATTTGGCTGGACCAGTTTTCAAGCAAAAAAATAAGAAACCCCAAACTATAAAATTTATTTACTCACTCTATGGCATGCAAATGAAGTCAACTGTACCTGGGGGAGTAGACTCCAAAAGCAATAGCTTACAGCTTTGGTTTTATCATCACTGATTGACAAGTACAAAAAAAAATGTTCCGCTTGAACAAAGTAGAACAGGCTTTTATTCATAATACTCTCTCCTCTTTAATATCCCAAATCATACTGTACAACTATATAGCTTACACAAAGAATTACTTTGCAGTTAGATTTATCTTCCCAAATGAAGGTTTTGGTGTGCGTTTTTTTGTCTGGATTTTTGGTTTTTTGCATTACGCTACCTGACAGCATTAAAAACAAGCAGGAACCTTGTGAGTGCTATTTGCCAGAACATATCACATAGTTCCTTCGCAGGGCTCTTTTTGTATTAGGAACTCCTCTGCATATTAGGCGACACACCCCTAATGTAGCCAATCCTCCAAGAGCTTACAGTAGCCCCTGTAAGAAATACAGAGAACTCTTGGAGGACTGGCTACATTAGGGGTGTGTTGCCTAATATGCAAAGAAGTTCCTAATACAAAAAGAGCCCTGGCTTTGCAAAAACGTTTATACTTTCATAAGTGTTACAAAACCTGCATGCAAACAACTGTCAGTCAGGAACCCTAGGCCGATATTTGCAGAGGTTGGTGTATTTTGGCAAGAGTTCACATCACATACAACTGACTCAAGAGCCAAAGTTATAAGGTATGCACCTCACCCGACATGTCATTCTTGCATGGTGCCCTCTCCAAAGACGAAAGTACACGTCAGTTTTAGAAACTCAAACAAATGAAGCTGCCTGCTGAGTCATTTCACAGACTTATCAAGGTCAGTATTGTCTGATCTGGCAGGCAACAACTCACTAGATCTCCAAGATCTTTCACACCACTTACTGCCACCTGATTCTTGCCAGGAACACAGGATCTTCTGCATGCAAAGGAGATGCTTTGTCACAGCTTCTTTCTAGTCACCTCATATCCAGCAAGTTTATCGGTCTCCTAAGGTCAGCGTTGCCAGCTCTGACTGGCAGCAGCTCTCCATGGTTTCAGGCAGCAATCTTTTGCATCACGTACTACTTGATCCTTTTAACTGGAAATACGGGGACTGAACGTGGGACCTACTGCATGCCAAGCCGCAGCTCTGCCCCTCGGTCACAGTTTCTCCCTTAATTTCAGGACCACAACCTACCCCTGCTTTGGAAACCGACTTCCATCCTAAATTTCCCTCAACTGCCTCGCCGCTGGGCCAGGCGTAAAGAACCTGCAATGATCGGGGCACCCAAAGGGAGGGCTCGACATTCCTACAGCATAAAGACTGTTGGACACTCGCGCGCCCCGCCCTCACCAGCGTCAGCGCCTCGAGGGGCTGCGGCCAGAAATTGTCCCGCCAGCCAGGACGCCGCATCCCTCTGCGGGTCAAAGCGGGCGCTCAGGTGTAGCAGCATCACGACCTCTCTCGGAGAGAAGCTCCCAGGGACGCCGAGCGACTGGAACACCCCGCCGCTCCCCGTCCGTCTCCGTCAGTCGCTTTCGCTTCTGCTCCCGGCGCACCAGCTTCTACCATTGGGAATGGGCAGCCTCGCCTGCCTATTGGACGCGCCGCCCGTCCATCACCTTCGCACCGCTCGGACTGGCCGGGCGCCCTGCCGCGCACGCCTTGGAGCGATGCCGGAGGACTCTCCGGCGTGCGAAGCGGAACCCGCGGCTTGCGCAATCGACCGTCACGCCCGAACCTTTGACTTCCTTGGCCTGGGCCCGGCTTGATGCGAGTCGGAGGGCACTGTAACGCTTCGCACTGCAGAGGGGGGGAAAGCGGATTTATTCAATGCTTATTATTATGTAAAATCCCCCTGCAAATTCTTTAAAGCATGCAACTGAGAAAGTTGAAAACTAAGATCTTTGCAGGGTATTATTAATGGAAGACAACTAGGAACAATGCCAGCCCTCTCCTGAAGTCTGACGTTGTATACTCCTGTCACCACAGCTCTCTACCGTCTCATTCAGGAACAAAGTAAACCAGGTCTTTGAAAACACAAGGGGGGGAGTGGCGAATTTTTGCTGGGATTCACCTGACAGGGCTATGGAGAAGACCCTCCTCTTCTTCCTGATGGGTTACACTCTACATTCAAAGGATGAGTGGCTCAGCAGGATTTAATTGGATCCAATCCCACCCAGCAGCCGGTTCATTCACTGTTTTTTTCTCTGTATCCTGATTGGACCCTTATCAGGTGAAATAATGCAGAGCCAGGATGCAAAGTTGTTTCCTGGAGGTGGATCATGCAAAAACTGTATTCTTACAAGTGTTGTGTGAGCAAGAAAGAGGGTTGCTTTCCTGTGCTCAACATTAAAAGAGAACAAACAAGATTTCTTCCAGGAGGCTGAAGTTGGTTCCTTATTCCCAGTTCCTTATTCATTCCTGTAAAGGTAAAGGTTTCCCTTGCTTGAAAGCCAGTCCCTTAACCGCATCTTATTCATGAATTCATCCAAAAACACTGAGAAGAGTTTGAAAGCTCTGAACCCCAAAATAGGGTCTGGACCACCACATATCATATACTACCAGGTTTATGGGACTCTCCCCTTCAATATATCCTGTTTCCTGGTCCGAAGCATGGTTCTCGTACCAACTGCTCCAAAGTAGGGTGCCCCAGGATAAACACAGGGGCAGACACTGGGGCCAGGCTGGAACACACACACCCCAGTCTTTGGACCACCCCAAATGACACATCACCATGCTCTGGAGACTGTCCCCTGTAAGATGACATACAGTGATGCCCGGTCTGAACACTGGTTCTGGCACCACGAGGTTCTATTCATAGTGCTTCCCAGAATTCTGTATTTCAAAGGAGATTTCAATGAATTCAAATTCAGCAATCTGAAGCTTCTCTGAGGACTGTTAACCTTCATTCAGCAAGGGAACGACTTTTGCCCTAAGGTCTACCTCACTGGGAGTGGTTCTTTATTCACCCCCTCCATGCTTTCACTTGCCACAGTGGGTCTGTGTTTCTATTTATGTATTTTTTGCTGGGCACCTTCTGCTTTGGCTCTCCCAAGTGCAACTGGCTCCTCCTCCCCCTTGCTTCCTCTCTACTTCACCTTCCTTCCTTCCTTCCTTCCTTCCTTCCTTCCTTCCTTCCTTCCTTCCTTCCTTCCTTCTCCAGTTTGGTGTAGTGGTTAAGTGCGCAGATATCTGGGAGAACTGGGTTTGATTCCCCACTCCTCCTCTTGCACCTGGCTGGATGATCTTGGGCAAGCCGTAGTTCTGATAAGAGCTGTTCTTGAAAAAGAGCAGTTTCTGTCAAGAGCTCTCTCAGCCCCACCTACCTCACAGGGTGTCTGTTATGGGGAGGGGAAGGGAAAGGAGTTTGTAAGCCACTTTGAGAAACCTTTGGGTAGTGAAGGGCGGGGTATAAATCCAGTCTCCTCCTCCTCCTCCTCCTCTTCTTCTGGATTAGGAAGCATTTCCTGCAGAAAACATGGTACAAAGATCAAAAGCATCCTGTAGCACACAACAAACACTTTGTATACAATGTTCCCACTAGCATAGTTCATCATGACCACGGGGGGGGGGGAGTGTTTGGGAGAGAAGTTACAAGAAAACGTGTCAGATCAAAGTTTATTGTAACACAGAAACAAGCTAGCCTTCTGACATAAATGAACATTTCTACTGAACATGTGTACAACATTGCTATCTGGTAATTGGTGAAGAAAAAGGGGGCCACACCAAGGCAAAACAGAGATGAGGAAACAAATTGGTGCAGAGGGAAGTAGAATCTTCAATAGTTATACAGCCCCTATGCGTTTAGCATGCAGCTTTGTCTGTATAGAAAAACAACTGACAAAAATGTCCTCCTCAGGTATGACAGCCACCACCCATCACATGTAAGAAATAAATTACCTTTTAGTCAGTTTCTCAGAATCAGAAGAAGTTGTACAAGATAACAGGATTTTTGAAGGGAGGCATCAATATTGTAGAAATATATGACAAAGGATACCCATAGCAGGTTCCACAAACATCTCTTACCAAGGCCACTGCTAAAAACAGAAGATTCTAATGGGTAAGAAAAAGAGTGACCTTGGGAGGCTTGTATGCAGCCTGACTTACAATTCTATAAGTGCAGGTTTGAAAAAAAGCATTTACAAGAATGGAATATATTGGACGATATCCCGATGTGTGATAAAATACCTATTTGACCCGCAGTTGCGAGATCACACAGCTCTTTGTAGCTGCAATCAGCCCATCACTGTGTGATCAGATGCAAATGCGGGTGAGTTGGGGGGGTTGCCATTTGTTTCCCATGCGCATAAATGAGGAATCGCACCTCCGCACCGAGGGCCCTCTATGGGTATGCAATGATGTGCATACTGGGAAGGGGGGGGGAAATGGCACTGAGCTGGGATGGCCTGATCAGCCCATCCCGATGGCATGCATGTGTACTTGCATGATCAGACAGGGGAAAGTCCATCCGTGGCCCATCAGAACCCATTTACTACTGGACTTTCCCCGGTGTCTTTTAACTCCACTTCTGCGGCAGAGCAGTACAGGTTGCCGACGACTGCGGGACGCTTCCCAGATGTTGCTGTCTGATTGCACCCTTTAGATCCGTCCAGCTTCGCACCTATGTCAGATCTACGGGCGTGTGTGATCACAGCCATTGTTGCTTATTTTTAAAAAGTTAGTTTAAAGATCTCCTAGTACACAGCAACACTACCCACACAAAAGTACACAAGCTATTCTACCAGGATCCATCCCTCCTTGCCCTGTGGGCATTGCTGTTTTTGCAAAAATACAAAAACCATGAAATATTTCACTAATCCTGTTGACAACAATATCATCTTTAAAAATTCACAATGTGGCTTATGCAATATCATGTGAATGTGGAAAAATATATATTGGTAATACTAGTTGATGTCTTAAGTTAAGACTCTCTGAAAACAAAAGCAATAGATCTCATTAAAAACTGGTGCTCCTCTGGTAGAACATTTCTTAGAATATAAGCACAACACAGACTTCTTGTTTTGGGATATATCTAAATCTGATAGGCAGAATGAAATAATTCTGTTGAGAAAAGAAGCTGATTGGATTCCTTTCCTTTCCCTGTGACTTAGCAGCCTACAAGCCATACATCAGCAGCATAGACAAATATGGTTAAATCTCATGTACCTTAAAGGTTTCCCTTGCTCAAAAGCCAGTCGAATTTGACTCTAGGGATGCATTGCTCATCTCCGTTTCCAAGCCAAAGAGCCAGCACTGTCTCAAGACATTTCCGTGGTCATGTGGCTGGCATGACTAGATGCCGAGGTGCACAGAATGCTGTTACCTTCCCACCAAAGCGGTACCTATTTATCTACTTGCAATTTCTTGCTTTCGAACTGCTAGGTTGGCAGGAGCTGGGACCAGAAACGGGAGCTCATTCCGTCATGTGGCACTCAGGTCTTGAACTGCCGAACTACCGACCTTCCGGTCTGCAGTTCAGCGTCTTAACCACTTGAGCCACCATAATACCCCAATTATTTCATCTTACCTGATAGTAAAATCTTTAGTTTCTGTTGTTCAGAAATGTTGTGTAGACGGCCAGTCAAGGGAGCAATACATTGGTTTTGAAGTGAATTATATCGAGGGCAGCTAAAAAGGATATGGACAATTGATTCAACTTGATGCTTACTATAAGTACAAAATCAGGGAGGTTCTTTTGAAGTGGCCCTTCATCTTAGCAGAAGTTAATGCGTTGCGTCTAAGTAACATGAAAGAGCAGCAATATTTTGGGACTGTTAAATAAAAGAAAAAAATAGACAATTCAAACATTTTCTGATAAGATAAATGGAAGTAGATAGGGGAGCATTTCTGATCAGCTTTGAGTTTTAGTGTAGCACAATAAAAAAAAATAATCGATTTTGTACTGAACAAGGATTTTTTCAGTGAATCCCTGAAAAGGCTCAGATTTAATATAGCAAGCTTTGAATCAATTGGGCTAAGCCAAGTTCACAACCAAGAATCAGCTGTTACTAGTTGCAGTGAAGATGGTAGAGCATTAGACTCACTGAATGATAATCTGAACTTGATAGCATGGCACCATGCTATTGTTGAAATTTGAAGGAGTCTGAGTTCTAGCCACACCACAGCCAAGGATATAATGGGAGGAAGAGAAAGGATCTTACAGAAGAGGGTTTACTGGGGCTTAGCAAGAGGATCCAGTGGCCCGTTGGCCCAGATTGGGGTAGCATAGAGCAATTTGAGAAGAATTATGGCTTTATGTCACTTTAACGAAAGCAGGATGAATTGGCTACCTTTGGTATAAAATAATTTCTTGAGAGTGGTTAATGTCATTTGGGTCTTTCTTATCTCAGAATTTATATGGGAGTTCCAGGATAAGTCATAGTTAAAAATAACACCAAGCTATTTAAACTGTCTAATTTCTTCAGTGGTTTCTCCACACATTTGCCAGAG